CAGCTGACAATCCTCGGGCGAGCGAGTCTCCTTCGACAAAGTTTTATGCGTTCGCTTCATTCGCATTGCCATGAATGCAATTGTTCTGCTTAATGCGTTTGACTTTTGTTTGTGGTTGGTTTACACTGCAGCAAAAGGTGTGTGCGGCAGGGTTGCATTTATTTTTTAGTGCTGTATGACTACAAGTTATCGTAGTCGAATAACTGCAGCGCTTTGGCTAAATTTTGGCACTTTTATACTTGAATAAATTCTTGTTGATTTAGTTTTGTAATTTTAGGAGTTAACTCTCTTTTATTTAATGAAAAAAATGAAATATTCTGCTCAGATATTTAGCATTATCCAGCTTTAAATAATGCTTATAGAAGACTCAGCCACATTCATTTTTAATCCCCTCAGAATTAAATATATTTTAATATATATTATACAATATATTATAATTATATGTATATATATTATTATTATATTATAATATATATATTTTAATATTTTATAGTAGCTTTTAAGTCAAAGAGCATCCACACTTCCCTGCCTCGCAGCTCCCTTAAACTATTCCCATAGCATACTTAAGTGCGTATCATTTGCCACTCCACACATGTGCACATGTACGTGTGCACGTGTACTTTCGTGGCTGACTGTGTGTGATATTGTGGTTGCTGTCAATGCCGCCAGAAAGTACATAAAGTATGCCCAAGCATTTCGAACTTCCTGCTCGGCATTATAAACATTTACACAGGACCGAGTCGGAGTCGCAGTCGGTCGCTTAATTCGCTTAAAGCCAACACAAACAGCGTAGCAGAAAATAATTAAGAGAGAGACAGAGCGAGAGAGAATTTAATTGTAATGCAAATTGAATGCAATCTAATGCTTGGCTGGCTCCACACAGAAAACTCCAATAGGAGCCAAAAAAAAAAAAAATCCTATAGGGGGCAAAAAATATTATGCACATGACAAACTTTGGCCACCGGGGGCAGGGTGTGCCTGGGTAGGCAGAAGTCGACTTGACACAAAAGTTGATGTCTCAAGTGTGAAGTGAAATATATGAGGGGACATATCTTGTGGGCGGTGGCTGGTGTGGTGTGGGGGTGCGGCGCATATAAGTGCAGTTTCCGCTTTTGACTGTGCATATAAATCTTAAGACAGTTAACGACATCATATGGCAGAGTTGGTCCGCTTCCAGAGGGCTTCCCAAGGATGAACTTACAATGCATATGCCACAGCCGGAAGTTCGCCGCCTCCTTCAGCCACGCTCTCTCTCAGTCCCAAAAAAAGCGAAGCGAACTTTGCTGCATAATTGTAAGGCGGAAGGACGACACGACGAGCGAAACGGGCGAAACGAAATGTTCGCCCAGCCAGTTGAGGAAACCAATTTGTGGTAATTGTCGTGAAATTGCAATTTCTGCAACTGTAATGGCCCAGAGGACTGACACACACAGAGAGACAGAGAGAGAGAGACAGAGAGACAGAGAGAGATAAGTACTGGTTGAGCAAGTGAGAGAAAGAGGCAGGAAAATGGAGAGGGGGTGCCCTGACTTCACTCAAATGAGATGCTGCTGCAGTTTGCTTCTTCTTTTGGTGGCTTGTGGTTCCGCCCCCGCCGCCCCCGCCGACGCCAGCACCATCGAAAAAGGTGAAAATGATAAACTGCCTAAAGCCGAATTAATGCGGAGATTGCTGCCAGTTCGTTGTGGGTGGAATGAGCCATGGAAATGAGCCATAAACCTTAATGAATGAGGCAAAGGGGCTTCCCCCTTTTGCCACTGCCACTGCCACTGCGAGGCATTCGATCTTCAAGCAATTTGGCCAACCACGTCAATGGCACACACAAAAGCGAATACTTTGGCATTCCCTTTCTTTTCTTTTTTGTTTTTTTATTGGACCTGGACTTTGCGCAAGCAACCGCTTTTATCATCAGTGGAAAAATCACGTGCGCATAAAACTTTCCAATCAGCGATGCCAAATACAAAAGAGGTCCTTAACAAGCTGTTCAAGTGGGACAGAGGCTGAGGCGAGGACGAGCACGAGCACGAGCACGAGGAGGACTCAGGTGTCGGCAATAAGTTTTCACCTCCTTTTGTCATTCGTGCTATCTTCTTTTGGTCGGGCAAAAAGTTTCAACTTAAAATGGCAAATCCATACAATAAATATATAAAATGTTACTTTCCGTGTCACACCTGAACTAACCTCAAATAAATTTCGCACATGTGCCGGACAGACCCAAAGAGACCCAGAGAGAGAGTGAGAGAGAGAGTGAGAGAGAGAGGCTGGCTGCCTGCCTGCCTGGTCTGCTGTTCAAACAAAAGCCGTAGAGAAGAAGAACTATAACCAGTGCTCGCTCCTTTCGTATATGTTTAGCACACAGGAATGCCGCCTCGCAACCCGGGGGCTCAGTTGGAAAAAAGTTTCCACCTCACACACGATAAGGCTGCTGTGCAAGGGGTGGGCAGGGGGGGGTGGGGGATTCTTCTTCTAACAGGTTGAGTGCGTTCTGAGTGCTCCGGCTTGGGGGTCTCCACGGATCACCTCCCAGTGCCAACTCCAGGCGAATGCAACAATTTCCAATCACTTCCCTTGCAGCGACACAATTTTCTATATTTATACTTTACGACACCCCTGCCAACTGGAAGAAGGTTTACTGTGAAGGAGTTTGACACCAAGTGGGCTTTGGCGGATTGGTGACTAGGCGGATGCCCTTGAAACAACAAAATCAAGCGAGCAACGGAGAATGCTTAGAGCTGCAAGCCTTTGTTGTTATTATTTTTGAGAGTGTTCGGTGCAGCTTACAGCTGGCGCTAGTGCTTGGAGAGCCGTGTGGATCGCGAGCAAACAGCGCGAGAGCGAAGGGCACGAGAGCGCGAGCGAGCTAACAGTCCGCTGTTAGCAAGACCAGCAAATGGCTGTTACTGTTACCGCTGGCATGCTAACAGCGCTGCTGCCCTGAACAAGACATTTAAAAACAACAGAAAGATGAACCAAAAATATATTGAATTTATTTGAAGAGCACCCCTTTAATTATTATGCCATTCACGCTTTAAAGTTCTGAATTTTTATAAATTCCTTAGGTAATTCCTGACTTTCCCGTCTTAGCATTTGAACTCGTACAAACTTCATTGCTTAACGCAGTGATCCACACTCATCTGCTGTAGTTAGAGTATCAAAAGTGGTTTGAACGCACGCTTAGTTTGTTTTTGAGAGAATTCCAGAGTCCCCCCCCACCCACAGTATGCGTATGTGTGTGTGTTGTTTGTGTCTCTGGCAAAACTTTAGGGGGCAGAAAAAAGGGCAGAAAAGGAACACACTCTCCACTGGCTGCTGGGCTGCTGGCTGCTGGGAGAGTGTTCGAAAGTGTTGCAGAATGAAAAGTTTTTCCTTCTTATTGCTGCAGTCCGCCTCGTGCCCCGTGCCCCGTGCCCCGTTCCCCGTTCTTGTTGCATTGATTCGATTTGTTGCGATTGCGTTTTTAGTCTTTTGCATGTGCGCCCCCCCCCCCCCAAAAAAAGTTGTGCCACTCCTCACTACACATCCACTCCCCCCCACTCGGCAGGCTGGGGCCTCAGATAAAGCATAACAATTGCCATGCACAAAACTTTTCCCTCTACAAATGTTCTCGTTTGGATGCAGTAGGGATGCACACCCCCGACCCCGCCCCGCCACACATGTGAATTTACAGGGCAAAGATGAAGACGATTTATTGTTGCAGAGCTTAAAGTTGCGTTTTCCCTTACAGGTCCCAGCTGCTTACAAAGTTGTTCTCTGATTAATTGCAAGCTCCCCTCCCAAAAAAAAAAATATCACTCATACGCCATGTGCCATGTGCTGAACAATTTGGGTTAAATACTTGCTGGTCGATCGTTAAACGGGGCAAAGTCAACACGCACATTGGGAGCTCATTAACGTATTTAAGAGCCACAGCTAAGAGTTCATAAAAAAAAACATGTACTCAACATATTTTCACGTGTTGGTGGGGGGTGCCACGGGGGAGCCATGGGGAAACCACGAATTGTAGATGCTAGAGAAGAGAGTTTTGCAGAGAGTTTTAGGAACAGTTTTCTAGAGATTTTTCTAGAGAGTTATTAAGCGAAGAGTCTGCTAGTTTTAGCCAATAAAACAACTCAATATTCATCAGACATTATTATTGCTCAATCATTTTAATTTAATGCCAGACAAAATAATGCTCTTAATTTTTCCTTTGGAGTCTACAGATACATCTACAATTTAATCCAGCTCCATGGAAAAAATTATGCGCTTATAAGTTATAATGATGGCATTTACATAATATTTGTCTTTAATAATTATCACACAAAAAATATTTAAATTTTAAGACAAGTTTTAGCTTGAAAACAGCTAAATTCTCAGTGCTGTGTCACCTTTGTTTCTCCCCCCCCATAAGCTTTAAAGCTGTTAAGCTACACACACACACACACGCGTATATCCCTGCACTCACATGCATTCACCTGTGCGTGTGTGTGCGCGCTTTTAATGTCATTTTTATGCCCACCATTTGGAGCTGACGTCAGTCAGTCAGTCAGTCAGTTAGTCAATCAGCCTCAGCCTCAGCTGGGGCAACATTTTTACAGCCGTGTGCCGGGCTGAGGGCTGGATAAAGTACCGCGCACCGCAAGCCATAATAATAGTCACTCCGGATACCCGTACCCTTGCCCGTGCCCGTGCCCGTGCGTCCGTCCCTTCTGCATCGGCAACTCATTAAGTTTGGCTTTAAAAAACAAAAAAAAAAAAGCAAATGTAAACAGTTGCCCCCGCCGCCACCACGATGCTGCGTAGTTTGTGCGGACGAGCGACCTCTTGACCCGCCTCACGTAATTTTCGCAATTGTTATTTATGTTAATGTTAATTTGTATGCCAGCATTTGCCGGCATTCTTCTACTTCAACTTGTGCTTGTACGAGCATTTATATTATTTTATTTGTAACATTTGTAACATTTGTATTTTATTTTTAATACAGTTGTGTGTGTGTTTGTTTTTCCCATTTGATGTATTTACAGAGCGTAAACTTTTCGTTGGCATGCTGAACAAAAAGTACACGGAGGCCGATGTGAGGCAGCTATTCACGGGCCACGGCACCATTGAGGAGTGCACCGTGCTCCGGGATCAGGCCGGACAGAGCAAGGGCTGTGCCTTCGTTACATTCGCAACCAAACAGAACGCCATTGGGGCGATTAAGGTGAGTGGAGGTGCAAGTGGAATGCTGAGAGAGCTCTGCATTTAAGCTTATGACAAAAATTGCATAGCAGAATTTTTTCTATTTAATGTGAGCAAAGAGAGAATAAATCTAGAGTACACTTTGCTGAATTTATTGCATTTCGAGGTTCATTAAAGCAGATAAAAATAATACTGCAGCGACTACTCTCTAATGCTGGCCAAAAAATCACCTTTAAGTCCAATCAAAGCCGCTTAACAATCTCATCGTTCTGCTGCTGCTGCTGCTGCTGTGGTGTGTGTGGGAAAAACTGTCGCAATGATTAATTGCAGTGGCGGCAAGAGTCGCGCATATAAAACACGACTCTCTCTCACACAGACACACACACACACACTAAAGCACAGCTTCATTCCACAATGGCAGGCAGGCAGCAGGCAGGCAGCAGGCAGGCAGCAGGCAGGCAGGCAGCAACAAAAACCGCATGCAACCGTCAAACAGGAAGCAGAAATGCAAGCAAGACGCCGCCTCTGGCAGCGGAAGAAGTCAACGGGAATGCTGGATAGCCAAGTAACCCATCCACAGCCACCCACACACACACACACACACAACCCTACACACACACCTACACACACCCTACACACTCGTACACTAATGCAAGTTTTGCGCCGGAAACAGGCAAAATTACAAACTTCCGACAGCCAAACACACACAAACACATGTAAGGGGAGAGAGCGAGAGGGACACAGTGCTTGAGGGCAGTGGGTGGGGGAGAGGGAAAGGACAGGGCAGGGCAGTCCAAGCATGTTGTCTCTGTTCTCTGCTCTGTTCTCTGCTCTGTGTATATTGCACATAATTTGTCGCCTTTTGCAAGATGAATGTTGTTGTGGGTGGGCCAGAGCCATTATAAAGCCATACATGCATACATTTACACACACACACACAAGCACAGGGAACAGAGTACAGGCTGAACTGGATTTTGTGGTTCTTAGTTGTTGCATTGCAGGAGGGGATTACGACTGTACCAGAGAAGTCTTTTTGGGTTCTACTAGGTTTGGGATAGCTGTGCTCAGGATTGGCATTGGAATAGTGGAATAGTTTTACTGTACTGTACCCCTGCCTGCAGTTGAGATCTTGCTGTGACTCTTATTTGGATGGAGCTCCAGGAGCAGCCTCTGGCAGAAAACAAACCAACGCCCAGTGCTCAGAATTATACGTGTATACTCCTGTTTGATATGTTCCCACACACGAGTTACCACTGTACAGGGCCATGTGTCTATGTGTGTGTGCCTGCGATTTTAATGCATTTGAAGTCAAATTACGGGATGCCAGTCACGCACGAGCCGGCAATGAGCTTGGGTTGCTTGCTCCCAGACCTGAAGATGGACCCCCTAAAGCTGATACTTAGGCTGAAGCTGAAGCTGGAGCTGAAGATGCAGCTGGCCAGGACCGGGACCAGCACCAGCAGCAAAATGATTTGGCTCGATTCAGTCAAGCGGCGAGGGTTGCAAAGTCATTGCAGTCTATTGGCGCCTGAAAGTATGCAACGCCATCCAAATGCAATCCAATGTGATGAAATTTGCCAGTCCACCCCCCAAGCCCACGTAAGCAACCCAAAGAAGCTCAAGCTGATGGCTGCTGGCTGCTGGCTGCTGGCAAAATGCATTTAATATTAATGTGCCATGTTTATAGCCCCAGCAATTTATCCTGCACTGCCCTTCCACGGCTGCTGCTGCTGCTGCTGCTCCTCCGCCATTAACTCTGCTTTTCTATACATAAAACAGGAATAGCAGCGAGAGGGCAGCAGGCAGGGATGGGTTGATGGCTTGCTGGCAGAGAGCAAATGATGATGGCATTTTTCAACGCATGCAAAATTTTCTTTGCTTCGTTTTTTTGTTTTTCTGCTCTCGTCTCTCGCTAATTTGTCAAGTGGTTGGAGGTTCCCCTTTCCCCCTAAGTTTGGAATGCGATTCAGTCAGTTTTGCAAATGCAAAACTCTTGACTAAGCTAAGGGCTCATTTAACCCATTTACTGTTTGCTACTGGCCAGAAGATCCCCAGTTAGAGGCAATATTAAAGTTATTTTTAACTGCCATTAAATATTTTCAATATTTTAAATATATTTTTTGCAGTATTCTAATGACTTAATTGATGGGGAATTAATTACTTTCGCTTGAAATTAAAATCCCTTGCCATTCTTTATACATTTAAATACCTTTCTCGCTGAGTTTTAGCTGCGGCAGGAGCAGAAGACCTACTCAAAAGCCGGCCAGCAGCCAGAGGCTGAGCACAGTTTGATAAGTTTTATGGCCACTGAGATGAGGCGGCTTACAGCATCAGAATAATGACGCGCACTTAAGCCGTGTCCCGACCCCACCCGAGCGTCCTTCCTCTGCCTCCTTCCGAGCCACAACAGATCTGACAGCGCAGACCCATTTGTCCGCTTAGGCGACTTAATTTACACCTTTCTGCTAAGCCCAAAAACAAACGAAATTCCACGCTGAACTCTCGAAACCAGGCCAAACATTTAGCCAAGGCTGCCATTTAGGGGGCGGTGGGGATGGAGTGGTGCTGTGGGCTGTGGGCTGGCTGGGAGGTTAGCCACTTTACTTATTTTCCGGTTTATGTAGACTTTATCATTGAAACTCATCCACGGCTATGGCGGCGGCTCCCGGGCCCAAAACTTCCGCTCAATTGTGGTGACGGTGGCAACTCTGGGGCCTGCATCCTGCCGTCTGCCTGCCGCATGCTGCCTGCCGCCTGCCTCTACGTGCGGCTGGGCACGCCTGTATCGTGGCAGGCACCAGAAGTGCTCTTTAATTACATTGACTATAATTCTTGCGGCTCTGGCGCGACTTTTATGGCCGGCGCATTGTTTTGCCACTGTCGCTCGCTGCTGCTGCTGCGACTGCTGCTGCGACTGCTCTTGGCTACAAAGTAATTAGGGAAATTTCCGACCTTTTTAAACAGGTCCTCGTAGTTACACACAGTTAGCTTGAGGGGGGGTTTCTTTATTGGTAGTACGAAGAAGGTGTTGTGCATTTTGGGCGTAAGGAAAAGGCTAATGAAAATATAAGTTCGATATTGCAGGGGCTGGATTCATGGATAAATACTTATACATTTAAAAAATATATAAATTTGAATTAATTAACAGTGTAGAAATGGAATTAAAGATATAGTAATTATAGAAAATTAAAGAATAGCAGTTAACAGGCCCTGTGTAGGGTAGCAGCTGTAACAGGGCAATGTCGCTGGTTTACAGCGCAGCTTAACAGACTGTTAATCGATCCCGGTTACAGCTGTTAGCGCTCTCTGACAAAGCTGTGCAAGCCTGTTCCAGTCTGTTTGAGTCTGTTCGATTCTGTTCAAGTCTGTGCAAGTTTGTGCAAAGCTATTCAAGTCTGTTCAAGTCTGTTCTGTATGTATAACATTGAAATAATACCTCTATACACCATTTTTGTTGCTCTTTCCAGTCCCTTCACCAGAGTCAGACTATGGAGGGTTGCTCCGCACCGCTTGTCGTCAAGTTCGCCGACACGCAGAAGGAGAAGGACCAGAAGAAAATGCAGCAGCTGCACGCCTTCTGCGGCATCAACGCGCTGACCGGCCAGACGGCCAGTGGAGCGTCTGCTGCTGCAACCACGCCCACCGCCAACACAGCCACCGCCCTAATTGCGGCCCCGCCCTCGGCGGCCAGGCCCAATCCCTCCATGGCAGCAGCACTGGCCGCCGTGCCGCCTGTACAGCAGCAGGGCAACGGCACCCAGACGGCCATGGTCTCGGTGCCGACTTCGGCCCAGTTGAATGCCTCAATGGCGCCCACACTGCTGACGGGCAATCCGCACCAGGGAGCCGCAGCAGCTGCGGCGGCGGCAGCGGCCTACCTGGGCGGCGATCCAGCGGCAGCGGCGCACCTACAGCTGTACCAGCAGCTGCACAGCTATGGACTGAGTCCGGCTCATTATCTGCCAGGTGAGTGGAGGAATATTTCGACGTTAAGAGCCCTAAATCTTAAGAACTGCCCCACTTCGAGTGATTCCCCCCCCCACATCCCCAACCAAAAATCCAAACTCCAATCTGATCGATCGGTTCAGTCAAAGATACAGATAAATCCACAGCGTTGCATCATTTGATCTGTCTCTGTCTCTATCGTTTCATTACATATCTATATCTATATCTGTCTCTGTTCCGTTTCACCCATTTGCTCGTTTTTTATTCCCAAAAGAATTTTAATCGTGTTTTCGTGTTTTTTATTTTTGTTTCTCTTTACTTTCGCGCACTTAATTCTGTGTTTTTTTTTTTTACTGCAACCCACAGGGAACAAAAGATTGAACTTTAATTGTAATTTTAATTGCGTGTTTTTGTGGTAAATTTAACTTAAACTTTCCCGCTGTTCTCATTCATTTTGTTGTGTTTTATTCACTTGATCGAAACATTTTCCCCCCATGTGCGTGTATGTGTTTAATTATGGATTATTCGAAAATATATTAAAGCAGGTTGAAAGAGCTGCCAGGAATAGGTGAAATCTGCTCAAGGGTTTCTGTTTCTTTTTTGTGTACCTGGAAAAATAAAGAAAATCTGTAGAAATGCTCACATTATGTGAGGCAGAAGTAGGGATACAAATCGGGGATTTTTTTCTTGTAACCCGCAAGATAAATGACTTGCGAGTCTCTGAAGCTTAGTGCACTGCAGCCATTTGTTGGGCATTTAAAAAAGTTCAACAAGAATTAATGTAAAACTTACAAATAAAAGTTACATTCTTCCCCCTTTTTTTTGTTGATGCCAAAGCCCGTCGTTGTTTCATTTATAAACAGGAACCTCGGCTTAGACCAGAGTATAAAGAATAACAAAAGGAAGAATAGGAAAAAAAAAAATGCTGCTAGGTTCCCCCTTCTTGCAGGTCTGTTCCGCCCAGCGACAACTGTCAAATAATTAATTTCAATTTAAGCAACAAAATTTGCATAAATGCAGACGAGCGACAGACCAGCGAGGAAACGAGGGAAAGGTTAGGCCAGGAGCAGCAGCAGCAGCAGGACAAGGAACTGAAAGAAGGCCCAGCAGCCTGAAGAGCATGATGAATAAAACAAAAACATTGTAATAGGATTAAAAGGTGGACAACGACAATGACAGGGATGACAACAACAGCAGAAGCAGCAGCAGCAGCCCAGCGACGATGATGATGATGGCCCCCAGACGGCCACACAGATTTCGGACTCGCACACAACCCCACAGCCCTGGACACACGTACAGGGCGTCAATGTAAACGTGTTGCATATGCAGCGTCGCTTCATTAGAATGAGCGACGTGCCACGCCCCCTCCCACCTTCAGTGCCCAACTCTTCGTCTGGCCGGCAGTGCCCAGTCTCGACATGAACGTGGACATTTTGCGCATAACAAATCAAGCACAAGAGAGCTTGAACAAACAGCAAAACCAACGAAGAACAGGGACAGGAACGAACAGGACAGAACAAAAAAAAAAAAATGAAATACTCGTAAAAGGGGGAATCACAGACAGCCAAATGTTGAGCGGCGCGTGATGTAATCGCACAAAGCACAAAAAAATCCCAGCACGGATATATCGTTGGGGAAAGTTAGGATGCTCTTACGAGACCAAATCTTACAGAGTATACGTAGAATATGTCTAATAAAAAGTCAGAAATTTAGGCTCAGGAAATAATATCCATAAGAGAGAAATTGCACTTCACTCTCCCCATAATAAATCTCTTGGAGCAAGGCAAACATGATCACTCAATACACATATCCCACCAAGACACACGCAAAGCGAAAGGGTATCGAAGGGGACTATGGGAGATGGTGGAGGCTGCCGACCTGACGGCAGTAACAGTAAACGGACAGTAAGCGGCGACAGTCAGGGCACAGTCAGGGGCAGTCGGGCAGTTAGATGGAACTTAGAGCGACGACGTATGCCACTTGAATAACAAATGACGTTTTTAAATGTCAGCCCCATACAGAGCAGAGCAGAACAGAGCAGAACAGAACAGAAGCTGGCAGGCAGAAGGAGCAGCGGCAGAAATAAGACTCCAAACGACACCGAACTCTGATGGCCAGCAAATGTATGGAACGTGTCCTCAAGCTTCCTTCATCCTCTTCTTCGGCGTTTTTTTTTTGTTTGTTTGTTATTGTTGTATATCTACGTAAGTGCTGAATGCAACCGTTAAGTGGATGCGGCAGACCTGTAAACGTTTGCTGATTTGACCAATTTCGGCTGAAGATGACGAGAAACTTTATTTAATTGTGAGATTTTCCAACGGGGTAGCTAATTATTTGGCAGGCAGGAATATTTTGCTTGGGTAAACTCGCCTCATACATGAAGAATGTTTACGTCAGAGAAAAAGCCGCAAAGAAATAACCCACAAGGAACGTCTTTGTCTAGCATTTTTACAAGACTTTACGTAAGACCCGCAGGGCCAAAAGGCGCCATCAAAGGCACAGAAAGCACACCATAGAAGAGGAATATAAAATGCAGAAGGAGCCTTAGAAGGGGTAGAGCACAAACAAAAAAAAAAAGAGACTGCCCCAATAGCCTGGGGACTGGAGCAAGGGCGCTGTGGCATGTAAAACAAATGCAATTCCAATGTGGCAACAGCAAAACCTGAAGTTGTCCGCAGGTGAGAAACACTTAAAGTTTTATTATGCCCACAAAAGGGTGTGGGCGATGGGAAGCTAGAAAGGAGATTTTACAGTGGAGTCTAAGGATCCAAGGATAGTCCAACTAAACACACACACAGCCTACTGGGCAGCTCATTCATAGAGAGAAAGCAATTTTTTTGTGAATATTCTTTAAATATGCTAGACAATATCCTGCTCCGTTTTCCTGTTCCCCCACGTGAATGTCTCTGTGTTCATTTCTCTCTCTACTCCACACACACACACACACGCATATGGCACCTGCCTGTTGTTCTCCCCGTCTCCCTGTTTCCTATGTGTTCCTATAGGATCCTTGTTTTGTGTAGAAAAGCTTTCACTCATTCGCCCGCGCCGCCAAGTATGCAACATGGGAATGAATCCACAGCGGAAGTCTCCCTTCATTTCCTGTTTCTTTTTTGCCAGCCTCTTAAGATTTTTACCTCATTTTTTTGCATACAATTGATTTACTGAAATTTAAATTGATAAAGCTTATGTCTAACTGCATTCGGCTGACATTGAGATTTATGTATTTATTTAACTGTCTGATTTTGTCTTTGGTTTTCATTTATGTTTTTATTTTTTATGTAATGTATGATTTTTATTTGTTTAATTAAGTCCTTGCATCCCGGCCTTATTTACCTGAATTTTTATTTTATTCACAAATCTTTATTATTTTTTTTATTATTTTTTAACCGTATTTAAAATAAAATTTAATCGAAATTTGTTTTGAAAATTTTAAATGAAAACCTAAATTGTACTTGCAAATAATTTCAATCACGTTAAATTACTTCGAATTTTAATCAATTTCAAAATTCAATTCCAAATTTAGATTGTTGTGAGTTGAATAATAATTTATATTTATTTAGTTTTCTTTTTTAATTTAGTATCTAATAATTTATTAATTTATTACATTTTTATGTTTATTTGATTTTATCATTTTATGTTTTACATTTTCATTTTGTTCTTGTTTTCCCTTCCACCCGTTTCCCTTTTTTTTCGTTACTTTCCTGTTCCGTGATTTATTTTTTTTACTTTGTTGAACTATTTGTTTTGAATTGTATGTTTAAATATTTACATGAATTTTTATCGATCATTATCGAAATGATATTGCATTGCAAACAAAACAAAAAAATTAAAAACCAAAATTAATTTTTTTTGTATAATTTTTGTAAATGTAAATAATCCAATTGGGTGTGTGTTTTCTTCTATGTTTTTTATATATAAATATTCGTTGAACATTTTTTGGTATGTCTATGATTGACTCTGTGGTCATGTACAAAAAAAAACAATCAATCAATCAATCAATCAACTCAACCAACTCAACCAAAACCTTAAAACCATAAAACCAAAAACTCAAAAACTGTACAAAAAAAAAAAAACACAAACAAAAAATAAATATGGAAAATCAGGACTAAATTTCCATCCACCGGATAACAGTGCCCACCACAGCCAGCACGGCCCACCCGGGGGCGGCGCAACATCCGTCGGTGCAGCAGCAGCAGCAGCAGCAACTCTATCGGCTGCAGCAGCAGCAGCAGCCGCATCCACAGCACCTCTCTCACTTGGCAGCGGCGGCCCATCATCATCCGCATCAGCCCTCGGCGGCGGCGGTGGCAGCGGCAGCAGCATCGGGATCTCTGCCGCCGGGCATGCTCCTAGCGCTGGACTGCTCGCCGCTCCATCCCTGTCTATGCAGAATCTGGTAACACTGCTAGCCGCCGCACCCACCTCCCACCAGCAGCAGCACCACCACCACCACCAGCATCCGCTCACCATCGCCACCGCCCCCAACAACAACAACAACAACAACATCAACAATAACAACAGCAGCAGCAACCACAGCATCCACAGCATCCAAAACCACATTTCGACCAGCAGCAGCAGCGGCGGCAGCATCATCCACCAACGCCAGCAGCAGCAGCAGCACTCCCTGGTCTATGCCCAGGCCACGCACCAGCCCGGAGCAGCGTCCGCCGCCGGACAGCTGATCCAGCATCCGTACAGCATGTCCCAGCTGATGGGGGGGCATGCGGCCACGCCCCCGCCGCAGTCGAGCGCCGGCCAAACGCTGTCGCTGAACGCGCTCTGTAAGTAGATCGAACATCCCCCCACCCCACCCCCCAAGATTGTGTCTATACTCGTACTCGTATCCATGTGTGTGTCTCCGTACCTCTGTCTGTTTTTTGTGTGTTTTAACTGTTTTGTCTTGTACTGTACTAAAACGAAGAGTTTTTACCGCTCCAAAATTTACTTACACTAACACAAACAAAGTGAAGCCTTTGTCGCCCTCTGCTGCATGTGCGCCCCGCCACGCCCCGCTGCGCCCTGCTGAAAATACTAAAACTTCACAAAATCATCTTTCCAGACCATCCTTCCCAGGCTTGATTTATCGTACATTCAATAATTTGAGAATGTTGGTAAATGATAAAATTCAAATTAAAATTTATTGGAACTTTATGAAAAAACAAAATGCTCAAGAGATAATTATATAGATTATAATCTATTATAATATATGTACAAAAATTGTTGTACAGAAAAATAGTTCCACACTCGATTAAATAAATCCATTGGTATAATTGAGCAGCTCCTTCGAGACCAGAAATATGTTTTTTAACCATATTCCCCACACACAACTGGCTATATAAAATACTCACCCTTCCACACAGCTTGATTCCAGAATTCCCACTATCTAAATCAAGCTACCCTCTCCCTCTCTCGTTTGCGTGCCCAGTAAAAGGCACGCTTGAAAAATAAAATAAATATACACTAATATAAAAACTCTACAAATTTCCGCAGGCTCTGTAAATTCAAAAACTCTATTGTTAATTAAAATTGTCTATATGTACTATATATATTCATATCTCTTTTGTTGGTCCCCCCAATAACACTACCAGTAGTAAGTTCTACATATGTATCTGTGTATCTATGTGTAAAAATATCTAATTCAAATTTTTGTTCTCTCCGTTTATTTTATGTTTGTTTTGTTGTTTATCCGTTTGCCCATCTCTGTCAATAAAAAATATGATATTTCCAAACCAGCACATAAAGCAGATGAGTAAAAAATGAAAACCGTGGACAAGTTTTACATCGTTGCCATAACAAAGTGAACAAAAAATAGTTCGAGCGGGAAAAATAGTTCAAATCATGTGCAGACAAAAAAGAAAAGAACAACAAATAGAATTTCGCAGAATGCGTTGTTGATTGCATCTAAAAAAGGAAATACTATAGAAATACTATAACAATATGAAGGGGACATTTCGGCCGAGTCAGGTAGAGATTCTACGGGTAGCAGTTTCATATTAGCAGGAAAGATAATTCTTCTACATTAAAAACTGCGAATTGAAGCAGAAAAAAAGGAGCCAGAAATCGCAGAAAAACATTTCAAGGACAAGGCTTTAATATTTATAATATATAAATGTAGGCTCGATCGGTTTAAATCTGAAAACGATTGTAGAGCAGAAAGAGCCTGTATCTTAAAGAATTTGATGCCAAGCATTGGAAACCATATTCCCACCATATTAATAACCAGTGAAGAAGGGCAATATGACTTAGTACAATCAATCAACTAAATGGTTGCCTTAAATATTATTTCACACTCTAAATGAAGACCTAAAAAACATATCTGTTACGCTATGTTTTTCTTTCTTGGCGGCTGTTCGTTGAATAAAAGCGATTAAATCATTGGCAAGCAAAAAGTAGTGAAAAAACTTTTGAACAAACGATAATTGCCCCGCATGGAACCAAATCAAATACCGAAAGTTTTCCAATTAGTTTTAGTCGATTTTTTGTATCCACATCCCCCGATTACAGTTCATATTCAGCTAGCCGAAATTCACTTTTATAGATTCCGCAAACATGAAAATTAATTTCCATCTAAAATTGGGGAGTACAGCACCCCCCGAAAATGTTGACGTGAAAAATACACTCCAGTAATTTGCAGCAACATAAAAAATATACGCCCATGAAATGCAATAAAACGATATGAAAAACTAAAGAAAGTAATAAATTTTTAGTAGAGCAAAAAGCAAAAAAAAAAGAGAGAGAGAGAGCCGATTATTGCACAAAGCGAGCGTAAGAGGTGTTTTTGGGGCAGAGGGCTGTGGCAGGCTCGATTAAAAGTGGCGCCACGCTGGGAGAGACCAAACAACAAAGGCTAACAAATTTGTTCGTGATAAAAAAAATACACAAAGGCCAACAACAAAAAAATAAAACCGAAATAAAAGAAAAATATCAAATTTAATAATGGAAGGGACGAGTAAAACAAAAAATAACATTACAACGGCAGAGAACAAAAGTGTGAAATGGGAGAAGGGAAGGGCAAAAAGTAATAATAAATATAAGGGAAAATCTCATATGCGTTAACTCAACTCCGAGCACGTTTATTGTTCAGATGTAACTATATAGATATATCTGTATGTGTATGAGTGTCTGTCTTTTTCTCTATGTGTGTGTGTTCCCGTCTCCATCTGTGCACGAGTGTTTTGTTCTCGTGTGAGTGCGCTCTGTTTTGCTGGTATAGTTATATGTATTTTGTTTACAGAGGAAATCAATATCGAAAAAATTACCATTTTTCCATCAATGTCGATATTATTTGATAATAAATATTTACAATTATTTTGTTTGCGATTTGCAGGGACCACAAGTGCCGCAGATCCCTACACACCCAACCTGAGTGGACTGACAAATGGATCGGTGCCCGGTGCCGCCTATGGCGCCTCGTCACAGTCCCTCAATGCCAGTGCCCTACAAGCAGCCGCAGCAGGTGTGGCTGGCAAACAGATCGAGGGTGAGTCAAGGCTGGAAAAACCTAACCAAAAAATACACTTTACTGAGCCAATTTTCTTTCTTTGCTTTCTTGTAGGTCCCGATGGGAGCAATCTATTCATTTATCATCTACCTCAGGAGTTCATCGACACGGATCTCGCCTCGACATTTCTGCCGTTCGGAAATGTGCTATCGGCCAAGGTGTTCATCGACAAGCAGACGAATCTGTCCAAATGCTTTGGCTTCGTTTCGTACGATAATCCACATTCGGCCAATGCGGCCATACAGGCGATGCATGGTTTCCAGATAGGGACCAAGCGCTTGAAGGTCCAACTGAAACGTTCCAAGGATGCGGCCAAGCCGTACTAGACACACACACACAAACACACATCTACACACATTATATACACCCCATGCAGACAGACACACAGACAGTGGAGGATGGAAACTATATAGAGTTTAAACAATTGTGCCTTCTAAGCAAAGTTCTGAAACCAAAGGACCAATTACAAAAATGTATCTGATAAGTGAACACACACACACACACAGCTAAAGCTAAAGCTAAAGATAAATAGAGAGATAAAAAAATAAAAGTTCTAGAGTGCACAAAAAATCAAAAATCAAAAAAAAAACAGAGAGATATGAATGGAACGGCAAACCACAAAATCCAACCAAAGAAGTAGCCTAAAAGTTGCATCCTTGTTGTAATCACATTTGCTGAAAAACCCCCATCAACCATCATCATCATCATCATCCACTACCACTACCAAAACTATTCAATGTGGTCGGCAAACAAAATCCAAAAATAAAATCCAAAAAAACAAAAATCCCCCCCTCAGAAATTTGAAGCTGCGTTGTGTGGCGCCAAAGTATTTTTCAAAGCCAAATAGTTAAGCAAGCAAACAAAAAGAGAAAACCTATAATAAAATCCAAAACCCAGGAAATGGCAGGCTAAAAGGAAATATCATATTTTGCACCGCACCCAATCAAATGAAACAACTTAGCAAATTAATCTTAAGTTACATAAGTGATAAGAAAACTAAAAACAACAAAAATAAATATATAAATAAAATTTAGTACGGGCACAAACAAAACCCACAAAACATTCGAAATTCCGTTCGTTGGAAGCAACTTTTAAATGAAACAAAGCCTTAATACAATTTAAAACAAAACAAAAAGCAACACTAAAATAACTGTTAGAAAATTCTGTGAAAAAAAAAACAAAAACATGAAATCATCAATTAACTAGTAGATGTGCTAGCTAAAGCAACATTTAGTTGCTTAGTCTCAAACAAACGTCACAAATGATATATACAAATCGGGGCATTGCTTTTAATTCATCCTTACTTCAGGCATCATTTTATAGTCATTAATAGTTTTAAACTATATACTATTTTAATTTATCTCGCATCAATTGATTTCAATACAAAACACACACACACACACACAATTTGTTGTTCAATTTGTACTTAAATTTGCACTCAACGTTGAAGAGCAAAATTTAATTTAAATTTAAATATAAACATAATAATTATTATGCATATGTATGTATGTATATTGAGGATTCAAATATTTGTACGAGTAATTTGTATCGAGAGGTCAAAAGCAAAATGGAAAAAAAAAACAGACCAAATCTAGAGGTTTTAAAGATTTACAAAATAAATAATAAAATATTTAAACAAAAATTGTTTGGCTACTCGAAACGATTTTAAGATGAATTTAAAGGAGTTTAAAAACCTTAAGAAATTCCTCTGCCATCTCCAGACTTTAAGCCCCTCCCACACGAGCTGCACGAACAATTCGTTGGGCGAGAGAGGTGCTATTGTACATGGGGATTCTTTATGCGCCACTGACAACTCAACTGGCGCTGATAGCTCGCAGGCGGGAACAGCAGAGCCACAGTGGGGGACCATAAATCAAGAGCAGCCTGCGATGGCTTCTTCTTTTCATGGTCCGCATCCGCATCCGCATCTGCATCCGCAGCCGCGTACTGTTCCCCCTGTTCGTGTTGCAATTCAAATGTTGGCGTTAACGCATGAAATATGCATATGAATGGAGTTGCTGCATGTGCAGCAGCTGTCTGGGTTCCACCTTGGTGCTGGCATCTCGCTCTGTAGCATGTGCTCTGGGCTGAGCGAGGTCCGAGTAGGCATTATTTAAGCTTCAGGATTCATGACTGTCATTGGGGTCTTGCCAGCAGGTCTCCGTCAGTTCTCAGTTCTCCGTCAACTTGAAGGCACAAATTCTACTGCAAAAAAAAGTTGTAAGACAAGTTTTCATTCAAAATGGACAAAGAGGATAAGAGTAAGAAGCAGGGATCACAGGGTCAGCGTCCTAGCCCGCCTCCAAGACCAAGACGTGGCACTCCACCGCCGACCCAACCAGGGGCCAGTCCACTGCCGACCCAAGCCCGTGGCACTCCACCGCCGACCCAACCCGTGGCAGTCCACCGCCGACCCAACCCCGTGGCACTCCACCGCCGACCGAACCCCGTGGCAGTCTACCGCCGACCCAACCAGGGGCCAGTCCAACGCCAACCGAACCCCGTGGCAGTCCACCGCCGACCCATCCCCGTGGCATATCGCAAGTGACTCGGCTACGTGCCTTGCCGACACGGACTCATGCTCGTGGGATCCCGCCGCCGACTGTGCCGCGTTCTCCGCGAAGTTTCTTGGCCGGCGAGCGACCATCCACCTCGCGGGAGCAGGCTCCATTTCGTGCCCCGATGGTCCAACGTTTACCCGTTGTGGATCCAAGTTACTTGACCAACGAGAAAGCGCCCACCAGGCGGGAACAGGCTCCAACTCGCGCCCAGATGGCCAAACGTGTACCCGTTGCGGAGCCAGCTCAAATAAAGCCACCCACCCCCCGGACCTCAGTGAGCGCGGCCCGACCAGAGCCGTCGCCCCCGTATGTGCCCAGCGAGGAAAAACCGAAAGTCGAGAAACGAGTCATATTCGGACGCAAGAAAGAAGTGGATGCGAGCGCGGAAAATCTGCCAACACCGCAACATGGTAGACGCAAGTTCCATAAGCCAATACAACCAAACAGGATGAAACAGTCGCGGATTTTCTATTCCAGCGACGATGAGGTGCGCGATGCTCTCATGGAATTTGGAGTGTTCCTAATCTTTCTAGTGCTAACATCACTTGGTGAGTGGCGGAGCCAAGCAGGCAGGAACACTGTCCAGAATTACTATTTATTATTGCTGCGAACGTAGAAAGTTATTTATTAGTGTGTGAGAAAAGCTTAGGCCACTAGAGCGCCGTTTCGATCGTGAGAGCGCTGGCAGAGCGCGCTAACAGTAAGCTTTTAACAGAGAACAGGTTGCTAGCAAAGAGTGTTAACAGGCTGTTAAACTGAAGTGTTAACAGCGCTGTTGCCCTGTTAGCGCTGCTGCCCTGTTAGCGCTGCTGCCCTGAGCTGGCGGCTAACTTAAGTTTAAACGGAAACAAGAGGTTTTTAATGGGGGGTTATAAACACATTTAATTAGAAAATCATTTATAAAATGGAGTTAAGTTCAAGTTAAACTGTTGACAGTTGAAAAGTGTAGACCCATTTTCGTGCTAGTTCTTTTTATGTATTATTTATTAATTTTCGTTTCAGTGGCTCTATCGGTGCGACAGCCGTACATGTACTACCTGAACACCACCATAAAGCAACTGTTTAGCGTACGCGAAATGGTTGTGGAGCCCACGGTGACCATTTCGTTTGAGAAAATTCTCACCGTGTCCGATTGGTGGGACTATTTGGAGTTTAACTTTTTGGTAACGCTGCACGGTGGTACGACCATTGCCCTGGACGATGGTACGACGGCCGTCACAAACACAACCGAAGTCGAGGATGATGATGATGATAATGATGGTACAAACACAACCTCCCAAACCGATGGCAACAGCACGGACCCGCAACGGTTTAGGCTCAGCGAAGATCGCTTGTTTATGGAGGATGGATATGTGGAGATCGATGACGAGGATGACGCCGATGATGACGATGGCACAGGGGACAGAAGTATTCGAGCCATCGGTGAGCGCGAGTTCGATGATATCGGCGACGACAGCGCAGCAGTTGGAAAGTTGCACGCAAGAAAAGGGGGTGGTGGAGGCGGTGGCGGTGGCGGGGCAGGTGGTTTTGGCGGCGGTTTTACCGATTTATTGGGCAACGACACCAGGTGGGTCACCCATCTCAAGGGACGCGTCTTTCTGCACGAGAACCTCATGCTGGGCCCGCCGCGCATCCGGCAGATACGCGTCCGCAAGGGCAGCTGCTACGTGAACGATGCCTTCATACGGTACTTCAACACCTGCTATGCCCCGTACTCGAAGACCACGGAAGAGACCGGCGGCACGCACAAGTCCACCGACTTTATGACGATGCACGATCTGGATGCCACGCCCATCTGGACGCTGCTCAACCTGTATCGCTCCGGCGGGTACACCGTCGATCTGAGCTACGAGAAGGATGCGAACATGAAGAAGATCAGGGAGCTGAAGAATCTCAATTGGGTGGATCGCGGTGCGCGACTGTGCGTGATCGAGTTCAGCATGTACAACGAGAATACGGACATCTTTCAGAGTGCCAAGTGGGGGGAATAGCTTCCAGCCAAAAAGATTGAGCGCTGCTTTATATTTATTCTCTTCTCGCCCCTTAGATTCATAGCGGAAATCCCACCGACGGGCTGCATCATACCGCAGACGCACCTGTGCACGGTGCGCGAATATTCGTTCTTCACGGAGCGCAACCTCTTCAAAATGGTCTGCTTTATCTTCTGGTATGTGATGGTCGTTTACTACACCATCTTCGAGACGAATGAACTGCGCAAGACGGGCTTCAAAATCTACTACAGATCATTGTTAAATGTGCTCGATGGCATCGTTTTGTTGGTAAATATATATTTGCTATAAAATTATATTATCCTGATACTCCATTCTCTACATTTGGCAGTTTTGCTATTTGGCTTTTGTCTACAATATTTGGCACACTTTTCACATTCAATCGCTTATGGCCACACTCCGCAAAAAGGATGGATTTCTCAGCATAGATTTTCTTTGCTTTTGGAACAACATCTACGTGGATATGATGGCCCTATTGGCCTTTCTTGTCTGGATCAAGATATTCAAGTTCATCAGCTTCAACAAGACACTCGTTCAGTTTACGACAACACTGCGCAGGGTATGCCACACACATTTATTAATTACTTATTTATTTATTTGTGCCATTTGTGCCTTGTAGTGCTACAAAGACTTGGCTGGCTTTAGCCTCATGTTTGGCATTGTTTTTCTGGCCTATGCTCAGCTGGGCCTGCTGCTCTTTGGCACCAAGCATCCAGACTTTGATACCTTTACCACCTCCATTCTGACGATGGTACGCATGATCCTAGGCGACTTTCAGTACAAGCTCATCGAGCAGGCCAATCGAGTGCTGGGTCCCATCTACTTTCTCACCTACATTCTGCTCATGTTCTTCATATTGTTGGTGAGATTGTTGTTTGTCCATTAGTTGAATGCCAGAGCATTTTCATGGGTCTGTCTGTCATTAGAACATGTTCCTGGCCATCATAATGGAGACGTACAATTCCGTGAAGAGTGAGATTACCACGGGACGCAGTCATTTGGGCTCGTATGTCTACAGGAAAGTGGGTGTGGCCATCAACTGGCTCTTCTATTGCTGTCTGCGGCGTCGCATCCAGCGTCGTGAGCATGATGCTGCATTAGCCGCAGAGGCGGAGGAAGCAAAGCACCCTTTTTTCCACGGGTAAATTTAATTGATTAACAATTCTGTCTTCAACATAATGCTTAATGCTTAATTAATCCTTATCCCTTTCTTCTGCCAGTCCACCACGTTTTGAAGATGGTCAACCAGATCTCGAAGAGAAGGAGCTGTACCAGTAAGCAGTCAAAAACAACACTTGGAATCTTCTCTCTCTCATCTCTTTTTTTTTTTGGGCAAACTTTTAGGCTGAAAAATCGCGTAATGCGGCTTGAGGATATTCTGGAGCAACTGGTTAACCATATGGATATTGTCAAGAAACACGTGGATAGAGGCCACTTCAAAAAGAAAAAGAAGGCCAGTCAATAAAATAAAATATTAACCAGAAATCTATAGAAATATAAATAAAAAAAATATAGAAATATTAATAAAAATATAGAAATAATAATAATGAAAATATATATATGTATGTATATAATTCCATAGAGAGAACCATTTAATATTTATGAACTGCTTACATTTGGTACCATAAAAAATATATAAAAAATAAAATATTAACCAAAAATAAATAAATAAATATAGAAATATTAATAAAAATATATAATTAATAATAATAAAAATATAGTTATATTATTCCATAGAGAGAACCAGTTAATATTTATGTATCGCTTACATTTGGTACAAAAATCTATAGAAATAAAAATGAAAATATATAGAAATATAGAAATAATAATAATAAAAATATATATATATTATTCCATAGAGAGAACCATTAATATTTATGAAGTGCTTACATTTGGTACTCCAGAGTACTCCAGATATTTACAGACTATTCGCTTGTTAAATGTATTTGAAGTAAAATATTAATGTGTGCTTCATGGTGTTCAAATATCCAGAGCAGATCCAGAACCAGCAGCCAAACACATAACCCGGCGGAGCAATCAAATAAGCGAAAATTAATTAACTTCTGCTCTGCTCTGCTCTGCTGCTGCTGCTGCTGCTGTGTGCGGCAGCCGGCAGACTCGAAAACAAACTGACAAAACCGCAGAAACCCCAGCGCTAATCTCTCTGCCCCCCAAAATCCGTGCTCGGTTTGCTCCAAGGGCTTAAAAACCAGGAGCAGAGAAGGGACCCATGCCCATGCCCGAGCCCATTCCTTAATCCTTTGGCAACAAAGGCGTAACGGAATTAAAAACATGAGCAGAAGCAACAGCCGTGAACAAAGCGTCGAGCCACGAATTAAACTATGTATTTAGTTATGGCTGCGAACGGTTAGGGTGCTGCCACAGGACATGTGGCATCATTAGGAGCAGCTCCAGCGGACTACATCACGTTCCCTTCCACCGTATCGCCTCGTCAGGGCCTGGGGCCTGTGGTTGCGGCCAGCAAAACAGCTGCAACACTCTGAGGCAACGAACCAGAGAGCCAAAGGAGCACAAAGTCAGAGCTAGCGCTCTGGCCAGGGTTGCCAGCGTAAATTAGGTTAGTTGTGCTTGAATTTTGTGGTGCGTAACGGGGCAAATTGCATTTGTGAAAAATTCACATCAGGCAGGTTTGTCCTCAGACAAAAGTAGCTAAAAAACTACGTGATGAGTGCTCAAGATTAATGGGTGAACAAATGGGGGGCAAACTGGAAACACTGTGCAAAGAGAGTTCTGAGAAAGTTAGCAGTGCCGTGCCATAGGAGTTTTCCGGAAAGAATTACCACTGATACAACACACCATGCCCCCGAAACAACAGCAGCTACAGTTGCCCGGGGGGCATCCATTCATTCATCTGCCATAAATCAACAACCAACAACCGGAAAAAAAACATACATACACCATGTTGTTGTTGCATTCGCATAAATAATTAAAAGTGCAATAAAGTTTGACCAAACATCGGCTTAAGTGGTCGAAAAAGCTGAATGCAGACTGTAGTCTGTAGTCTGAGGTGGGATTGCATTTTGTGTGCAGGCTCAAATTTGTTAACCGAACGAATGGGAGATAGACATACGGGCAGGGTACGTATACATCGTATACAGATATACATATATATATAGTATGACTGGCATTGTTTCGCTTTTGTAAATACAAATTGAAAAGTTGCAATCATTGCCAGAGCCAAAGCAAATACAAAAAAAAAAAATACAGAAAAAGAGGAAAAGAGGAAATAAACCGATGAGCAGACAGGTAGGAGAGAGGAGCAATTGTAAAGAGCCCGGTATCCATAATTACTGTTATGCTTTATACACACACACACACACACACACACACATTTACACACGCAAAGCAGTAGCAGAGGAAAAAAAAATTTAACAACTTTTATGCGCATCCCATTCAATGATGGTGGCTGATATGGTGGCAACCCTGGCTGTAATGCACAAATATGTCGGCCACTTGTGCATTCAACGAGCTTACAACCCAAACAGCAACAGCAACAACTACCACACACACGAGAGAGAGGGACAGAGCGAGAGAGAAAGAGATTCGTATCGGACTGAGAACAAAAATGAAATTGAAGCGTAAATATTCTCCCACACAATGTCCAAGTAAATGCCTTTAAATTACGTGTAATAATACAGTGGATACTCGCTTTAATTACCCAACAAGTGCGTACTTAATTATCGATACTGAAACTACGAGATATATACGAGATATGTACGCATTTAATTATTGTGCTACAAGGCATTGATCGCATGCAAAATTAAAGTAGAATTGGGCGTGAATTCTTGGAGAGAACAAAAAGAATTATTATTATGTGCGTGTTGGCATTTTTTGGTTCAGCCAAAATGGAATGCAGAAAGGGGAAATATCAGATTTAAATCAGTTACTAAAGTGAACAATTGCAATGGAGTAATAATACTTTTAATAATAATATAATATAATATAAAAATAATAAATAATCCATCGACTTACCTTATGTCTAAAATTCCATACTTAGGAAATTTCTCCTGTACTTTTGTACAAACATAAAAACAGAAAAAACGGCCAATATTAAAAACATGTTTTACAATTGTTTGCCTCGGACAATGTTAAAATGTAAACATTTAATACATATATTCACAAGACAAAGGATATTTAACTGCATTTGGTAAAAACGCATTCGCTGCTAACAAAAAATTACCATGCCGTAGGGAATGTGACCAAGGCAACAAAAAAAGGGAGTGTCGTCTACATATGTTAACAATAAAAGAGAAATGGACTAAACAACCATTTCAAATACATCCTGATCTCAACTGGCTCCGTTTACCAATGGGAACAATAAGCTAGGAAGGGCTTGCTTTGAAACTCTAAAGCTAAGCAGAGTTAGCCAGGAATATATCTCTTTGAAATTTCACATTCAATCCACTATAAAATCAATAGGCAAAGCTCTCGGTTTTTCCCCCACTTAAACCATAATTCATCAATTAATGGCGCACGCTTTTATGGCATAGGTTTATTTGACAAAAGGAATAACAGGCAATTAAGTAAACCATAAGTTGACCACAATTAATTACCCCAATGTGCAATATAAAAAAATAATTAACTAGGTTGGTGTTTTTTTTTTTAATACGCATTCAGCAAGCGAACTAATGAGGCATATAATGCAGATTCAGCGTTTCATTATCACATCCAGTTTAAATCCATCAAGCCATAAGCACCATAAGAGTTCGGTTCGGTGCGAGGCTTTAAATGAGAGCTGAAATGTGCCGCGCGCGCCTGAAAGTATGCGACACTTGAGAATAAAAATAAATTTGATTTACTCTGTGCATTAATTGAAAAATTATTTAATTTAACACAAGACGAAAGCCAACCATAGTGAAGAAAATATCAGAAAAATATTATCAACTATTCTTTGAGCTCACACATATGTGTTCCATTATTCAAACAGATTCCGATACCTTTAGCTGCCGTTTATCAATTAATTAATTTCCTTATAATATCTGCTTGGTGTTTCATAAATCGTTCATTTATTTTGGAGGCAATAAATTAATTTCGCATGCACATTTGGCACATTTAATACTCACACGCTGTCGAAATAAATACGATAAACTATAATAATAAATGATAAATAATATAGGGGTGGTTGGGGGGGGGCTGCCATCTTCTTTGGATTTCTCAGAGACATCCTCGATGAATGCTGGTGCTTACAACTAAAATCTTAAACTTAAATACGATGCCTAGGGACTAGATTGGGGCATGGGGGGGGCTCATCACTTTCTCGGCCCCATTGACAGTTTCTCGAACATGGGCATTGTTTTGATCACTGACGGTCCCGAAATCAGTTCGGCATCGGGATTGACCGGAAAGTCGGGATCAGCGGCTGCCAAATCGTTGACGGCGATGTCGTGCGACAGATCGATGGGCAGCGAACCCTCGTAGATGTCAATGTGGTTGTCCAAATTGTTGCCAGCATCCGCTTCCTGATCCAGTTCGTGGTCCTGATCGACCGCACCCTCGTGCAGCTCATGTTCCTCTTCCTGTTCCAGTGTGTCCCACTCATCATTGAAGGTGTCGCTCATTTCGATTGGTGCGGCTACTTCACCATCCTCATCGTCGGAGGATTCCAGCTCCTCGCGCTCCCTGTGCTGCAGCTGCCCCAGACGATGCACCTCGTCCGCATTCTCAAACAGCGCAGCGTCCTCGGCTTCAAACTGCTCCTGTTCCAGCGCCTCTGCCTGCGCCTCTGCCTTGGCCTCCACAGCGGCTACCATGCTATCCGTGTCCAAGTTTGCCATAATTTCCCTCCTGATTTCCAGTTGCGTACCTTCGGCTTCAGAGTCTGCGGGTGAGCTGGTGGCAAGTTTTGTGGTTGTTGTTGTATAACTTGGTGTTGTTTTTGTTGTTGGTGTGGACTGTACGTCGTGTGTGTGTGTGTGTGTGTGTAATGGGTTGCAGGTGCAGGATGTGTGCGTGTGAAATAAATTGAATAAAAATTTGTATTAATTTATGTTCGAGAAGAGCCAATCACGTGGTTAAGTTTTGGATAGGATTAAAAAGCAAACGCAGCATGCAAAAATAATTAATTAAATTTATTATTATTTAAAGAAAAATAAATGTAAGCTCAGAAATAAACAACACAGCACAGGAAAGGTTTAAAGCGCAGATTCAATTGTGTTTTGCGTAGAGAATTTTTGGAAGCTACACACTACTTAAAAGAACAGTTTACTAGATAGAAAAACTTAAACCGTTAAAATATCTCACAATCTCACAATCACAACTCACAATCAGCGTTCGTAAAATATAACTGAGCTTCTCACTCGCCCAGCACAAGAATTTATAGCATTAAAGCTTGCTAGCTTAAGACGTGAGAGAAGCTTCAATCGAAGCTGCTGTTATGCCAATACTTAAGCTATAGAGAGCAAGAGAGCCAGCCAGTTACAACTCAGCAGCAGTGCCTTTGCTGTTGTCTTCGCATTACGGCAGCAGAAAGACAGCGACGGCACAGAGATGTCAACCATTAACAGTGATCTGTTATTTCTACTCTCTCGCCTCATAGTAATCTCCATTCATTATTTCCGTTTTGTTTTGCATGATTCAACGGCAAGAAAGAGACAGAGCTAACCAGTGAGCAAAGCTTTCAAAGCTGCACATCCCATCTTCTGTTTGTTCTCACTCTCCTCTCTGCTCTCACACCTTACTGTATTCATTCATCATTATGCACTGCATGATTCACCTTCGTCGCTGATAAATCAGCATTTCGTAAAGGTCTCTCTTGTCTCACTCACTCTCGCGCACGTTGCGTCAGTGTGTCTCGGTTCCCCGTGTTAGAGGCTGCCGCCTTTAGCTTTCGTGACGTCACAAGTTCCCCTTAGTTTTTGTCCAATTTTGCCGGTCGCTCGTTAGCAATTTCTAAGAAATTCATATTAATAATACACCATTTTGCGCATCTGTTTATTTCTGTTCGTTACGATCACTTTATTTATAATAATTGTAATCGTTGACACGGTGGCACGGAACGGAAACAAGGCTAAGGTATAGAATAGATGGCGCCATGACTGAGTCACGATTTCTGTTATTTTTTCTTGGGAATTTCTTGAGAATCGGAACGGGTTGAAGAATGTTGAGTGATTTTAAATCTGCATTTTGTTTACAACTTAAACACTCCCGAAGTTAAAACCCAACTCAATATCTGCTTAAATATTTCTGAGAATCTGCCATCTCTTTTGTTTGCTCATTTCATGCACCCTTTGCAGCCCCCACCATTGGGTGGCCTCTCTGCTCATCCTCATGTGACTTGGCTTGCATTCAAATTGAAAAATGCAAATGCACAAAGTAATTTTCAGAAATGTTATCAAAAGCTGTCATATATGAAAATTATTTACATTTGTATGCATATTTATTCCGTTTTTAATAGCAAAATATTAATAAAACACATACTACCGTGCGGCTTCGTGTGTGTGTGTGTGTGCGTGTGTTTGCACATGGTTTTTCCAAAAGCTTCAGTCGCCAAATTGTTTAACAGGCTTCAACAATTTTTCAATATTTCAACTCAAAGGAGGGATCGCTCTCGGTCTCTCTCTCTCTCTCTCGTCAGTCCCTGCTGCTGTCCCTTTCGTGTTTATTAATATTTATAACCATGAATGTTAAATTCAAATAAACGCATGAGATGGCAGAAGGTTCCATGCGGGTATCACCGCTCCCTCTCCACCACTCTGCAGCAGAGCCCCAACAAACCACAACTTTCAATATCCGCGAGAGATGCAAAAAAGTTCAACACACAAAAAATTAAAATGAAAATACATCAGGAACAACAAATTTGACAGGAAGGGGAAGCGAGTTGGGAGTTGCCTTCAGTAACGAAGCTTTAGATACTCTTACATTTGGCAACTTTTCTCTGGCAACTACAAACGAAAATATTAGAGTGCTTTTTTTTAACTGCTTGGACAATGCATTGATTGGCTCTCCAATTCAAGTGTCATAAATTTTGTTTAAAATATTACATTCTAAAATAAAAATAAAATTTTGAATATTAAATTAAAATAAAAATCAAAATTGGCTAGTATTAAAGTTGGGTAAAACCCACCAAACCACTCAAATAAATCCAAGCAAAGCCCACTCCCCCTGTATGGAACCAGCCAAACCCTCTACAAATTCAATATACTCGCACTCTCCTGAAAGCATATAATAATACATATTCCCCGCTTATGTGAATAGTTTTTGTTGGAGTTGCACTTCTTCTTTACGCTTCCGGTTGCGGCTACAAAAATGTCACCGCTGGCATTATTTAAATTTAAATTTTTCGCATTTAAACGTTGACATGTCACTTACAACTTTAAAGTTGTTAATAATTGCGCTTTACGCCGCATTGCATTTTTTTTAACGGTCATTTATTAATTTTCCGCTGATTTATGTTGCAAAAAACAAAAAGGCGTTCGTCGATTTCGCTACAATAAATTCTCATAAATACAGCTACCCGCCCTTCACCGCTCTTTGGAGCTGCTGCCACGCCCATGGCGAAACGGTAGAGCCACGCCCAAGACAAGGATTTATGCGAGCGGAGCGCATGACTTTTAATAAAAATTAATTTTTATTATGGCCTAAAAGTAATTAATGGACTCGCAGCAAAACCGAAAAAAGAAAAATTGTCGCGTATGATGCATGAACCGCTGCATGGATGGTAACGGGTGTGACCAATTGCCAACGGGGCCAGTGCGCCCGTACATACATATATTATCCTGCAGCCTTTTTTTCAGAGTAAGGTGCGTTGCAGGAATGGCAACACAACAAAAAACAAGGGGGTTTACATTTCATATTAAACTGGGCACTGCTGGCAACTACAGAGCGAACATTTCTGAATTTGATTAATAGGGTATATACATACACACATAAGTACATATGTATACGCTGCTGAAGCTCTTTAATCGTGGCTTAATAGCTGACTACTATTACAGTTCATATTCTTCTGTTCTAATTCTTTTTTATGCTTTGCATATTTTACTTGGAAATAATCTTCAGGCTCTGCAGAGATAATCCTGAGAGTCATATCGGGATCTGCTGAATATCCTTAAGGTGCGTTTATTACCAGAAAAGTCTTCTCTGGCTGTGCTCTTGTATTTTGAATATTTACTCAGACCTTGCTATGATTTTTAATTAATTTTTCATTTAATGTCAAATGCTCCGCCTACGCTCTGGTCTGTCTTTTACCTATTTTATATGTACAATAAATGCTTAAGGCCTAAATGCATAATCTCGTATGCAACAAAGTATATATATACATTTCTGAAATGACTTCAAAATAAACAGCTTACTTATTGCCCAACTCTCAGCGCTTCCACAATATTCGCATGTGATTCAGACAATAATTTTATCTGTCAATTACGAGTAATATGTAATATGTATCTGCCTCTCGTCACATGCAGTTTTTTGTGTGATTTTTGTACACATTTGCATAATATTGAGTTGCATTATTTTTTGCCGCCACATACTATAATTTGTTTGCATTATTAATTTAGACGCAATGCAATAATAATAACTAAAAAAAAAACTGAATAAAACAAAATTCACGCACAAATCCAATAAACAAATATTCATATTACATGAGAAATAATAAACAACCACAAAAAAAAACCAATACAAAAAATCCATCTAATTGTACAATTAAACATTTTGTCGTGTTAATAAAATATTTACGATTGCGGTTTGAAGAGATTATTGGCCTGGCAAATTACAGAAACTTAATTATAGGACAAAGCTGTGAACTGCAGAAACAACAGAAAAAAGAGTGGCTTTAAATTAAAAATAAATCTAATAAAGTGTAGAAAATTAAAGCTTTAAATGGAAATAAATACAGTAAAATAAAATAAAACGAAAGCAAACCAAACCGAGAAGCCTCTCCACCAGACCAAGCATTTCACTTTTATTTTACATTATTAAACATTTTTAGTAGTAGTATAAATAAAGGCAGGCATTCAATTGAAGATATGTACAAGTCTATGGTTTAGTTTCAAGGCAAAAACTTTATTTAAAAATATAAGAAATATTTATATATTGTGTATGTAAGTATATTACAAGTTTACATAATGTTTTTTTATAAATTGCTTTTTGTTTATAAATTGCTCAATATACAATTGTTGATATCTGCTGTTGGTTAGTAGAGCGTTTTCCGGATTAAATGTTTTCCGCATGGAAAAGAGTTTTCGTTTGGAAAATATATTTATACCTGAGGTTCGTCGATGTCGCGCACTTCGTTGTCCTTGGGCTGCTTCTCCAGGGGCTCGCGACGGCTGTTATCGTCATCGTCATCGTCGAATTCGCCCCGCCTGGTGGGCAAGACGGCCGGGGCCGAGGTGGCAGGTGCTGCGGCTGGCTTGAATTCTTCACCCTGGCTGGTCAGGACACCCTCGGCCACCTCCTCGCCGCTGTCCAGGGGACGCACATTGACCACACGCACCCTGAACAGGCTATTGGAGTCGCCGTACACCGTCTCATTGATCTCCACCTTGTGGCCATCTACGACCTGTTTTTTGTTTCAAGATATTTGTGGAAAGATATTTAAGTTATTTATGATGCATCTTTAAATCTTTATCTGGAAAGTTTTGAGCCGTTGCTTTAAGCGATTTCCCCGCACATACCTTAACCGTTGAAGTTTTATTGCCATTCTTGGGGTTGAGGGGCGTCAAGGGAGTGAATGCAGTCAAAGGCCGCAGACCGAAGGAGAAGGCAGATCCAATGTCATCGCTGGAGTCATCCGCACCAGCAGCACCCGCCCCCGTGCCATCCTCACCAGAATCGCTGGCAATAACTGGCCACAGACGAGTGCGCAGACGACGGAAGAGGTCTGATAAAGTACAAGTGAATATAGAAAATAGAAAAAAAAGAAAAAACATGTTAAATAGAAAATAAAAGAAAATTTCGGCTGTCTGTGGTATAATTTCAAGCGGCAAACAAAAACCAAAATAAAAGTGCACAGCAGACTGACATGCAGAGAGAGAGGCGACACCACGACACTCTGGGAATCCAAGCAGGTGCCCTTCGTCTGGCTCTTGGCTGTGTCTCTGTGTCTAAGTGCCAAGCAGATATTCCAGCCCCATTCTCCTTGTCGTTGTCTCATGCTAATGTATTTTTCAGTTTGAAAATCCTTAATCCGTAAACGCACTAAAAAGCGTTTTCTGTGTCGCCAACGCTTTGCAATTTGCAATTTGCAATTGCCTTGTCTGCTCCGTCGTAATACCATGCGCATCTCGCCCTCCCAAAAACCCTACGCCCAGCCCTCCCTATGTCTGTTCGTCGCCTTAGTTTTTCTTTTCTTTTCTTCAACCTTGTCATAAATACTTGACCGATTTGCTGTGACGACTGTGTCTTGGCCTGGTCTGGTTGTCGGCTTGTCGCCAATTTATTTGCTGGCAATTTGCGTTTAAAGAGGCGTGAAGGTAGTTTGGTTGGCTGTTAAATTGAAGTATCACATGGTGCTGAATAATGTTGCAGGAAATAGGGAAAGTTTGCTGAAGTTTTTTGGCTTTAAATATTGTTTGTTGTTCAGCGCAAACGTAACATGAAACATATTGTCACATATAATATTTATACTATTTTAGATATTTATTGTACTCGAGAAATATGCTGTATATCCTGTCTTGAAGCACCATTCATTAAAGTATATAAATATAAATATGAATCAATATTAATTAACATGAATACTTTCAACTTTAAACGATCTATCCAATTATATGTCCAATATAGTAACCCATCATAAAATCATAAAAAAAATCATAATCCTAAATCCATAAATCCTAAAAGCGGAGTGCATAGTCATTGATAATACAAAATCAATAGATACATTTCATCTAATCACTCCGCTTCCAACATACACTTACTATAACTATATCGTATCCAACTTTCCACTTTATGTCCCTACAGCCTTTCTCTTTCAGCTTTCAAATTCCTTTACCCCCATACATACATATCTCACTCTCTCTCTCTCTCTATCCACAAATCCAAGGGAACTGAATCTGCTGCTCCATCTACAACTCAAATAATTCGCTGACAACAAAGTTCTGAGGCAACCGCAACCCCAACTCCTCCCCCGAACTTTCTATTTGTCTATATGCTGTTTCCTACGCTTCGTTATCTTGTTGTCCCTCCCACTCCCACTCCCACTCCATCCCGCTATCTGTGAGTCTAAAAAAGAACAAAACATCTTTCATGCATATAAAATGCCATGGGCTTTGCCAAGTTTTTATACCACAGCCCAGGCCAGCCTCGCTCCCTCCCTTCACCCAAAACCCGGAGTATAAGGATAAGATTTATGAAGTTTCAGCTTCATCATCGTCAACGTTCTATCGAGGGCGTCTTACAATCTTAGCTGGGCACAAATGAGGCTGGGGCGCAAACTTTTCACTTTTAATGGTCAACAGACTGGTTTGACCTACTGTACACCCACTCTGCCACACCACACCACTGCCTCTATCTATATCTATATAAATATATATAGAAATAAATACAAAAGAATAAATAAACTTTGTCTGGGGAGCTGCAGAAATTTGACATAATATTTTGATAAATTGTTTTTCGTTTTCTAGCCAGAGAGGCTTGGGAGGGGGTGGGGGTTGGGTTGGGGAAGTCAGGAAAGTTTAAAAAGTCCCCAAAGGACAGTTGGCTAATTGGCTTGACCCAAGGGTGGACATGCATTTAATCCAATGTCTGAGCCACCAGAGCGTATGCGTAATATGGAAAATCCTTCACCCATTGTTCAGCTCCCTCTTACACTCTCCCATCATCAGGCAGGCAGGCATGCAGGCAATAAATGTGATGTGTAATGCAATTGAGACTTGTAATTAAATGGTTGGAGCATTTTTACACAAATGATTATTCAATTAAAATATCATTATACGGCCGTATACGGCCGCAGGTTACGCAGGCCACCACCACTCACCATCGAAGGAGTCGAAGAAGCCCGTGGTGACTGGACTGAAGCTCGCCGGATTGGACTGCAGGAAGGGATATCCAGCGCCCGTATCGATGACACCGCCAAAGTTATGGAAATCCGGTTCGCCAGCGCCAGCGGACTGGGGGCGCGAGGGCACTTTAATCACCTCGGCATCGTCCTGCGGATTGTTGCGCGCTGCAAAAAGGGGTCGTGAAATAAAATTAAACGGTATTATTCATCATTAAGAAACAAATTGGCTGCGAAAATTTTCATTAAATTAGCCAAATCAGCGAAGAAAAGCGCTGACTTGCCCGCCTGAACCCCTTTCTGCACCGCCCCCTACCTACCCCTTTTGGGCGCCTCATTAGCGCTTATTACGCAAGCTTTGCTTTTGGCATAATTTTCTTTGACTAGTCGGGATATATGGTAATGCTTTTGCTCTTTGACCTGACCTTTGGGGCGGCTGCAAGCCTTCTAACCCTGGGGAAAACTTAAAGTGGAAATTTCGATTTAATATCCGAACACTCTTGCCCCCAAGGAAAAACTGGGCCAAGGCTTTATCGGAGAACCTCTAAATAAGAGATTCAAAGGAAGAAGAATGGACAGAACCAGCTGCCTGTGCCCGTTTACATTTCCCATTGCTCGCATAGATAAATGCGTTGATTTTTGCCTCCTCTTCCTCCGTCCCACTTTCAATCTACAGTCCTGGCATGTTGCACTTCATAAATCTCGCCAGCTGACACTGACAGCGACAACAGGCAAACAGCACAACCGTCACACAACAAGTGGCTGGAAGGAGCACCCAGCACACACACACACACACTCGTAAAACAGCAAATTACATGGTGTTGGAATGTACATATGTATGGGTATAGCAGGTACCCTGTACTCAAATGCGTATGTACTCTTAAATGTAAGCAACGAATGGCAAGCTGCAGTGACAGAGCTGTAACAGAGCTGTAATAGAGCTGTAATAGAGCTGTAACAGAGCTGTAACAGCTGCAGCAGAGCACCAGCGCACTAACAGCCCACAGACTACAGCGCACTGTTACCGCTCTCTGCGAGCTCTGCTAGATCAGTCTGCACTCTTCACACCACACCGCTCTCCACATAGCGTTTATCATGTGAGATAATATTAACTGCACACTCCCGCTGACCTGTAGTTTCCTGGTTCCAACATACCCTACATACACTGCGTTAATCGGTCTTCGGAAACCAAACTAACGACGATAAAAATAAGTCAAGCCAGAGTTGACTCTTGCCTCGACTCAACTCGACTCGACTCTTTCAGATGAAATGTGAAATATGAAGAGCTTTATGTGCTGCGTAAAATTGCGTACGCAGAAGGCCAACCGTATGTGACCCACCCCTAAGAGGGGGGAGGCTGAGGCTGAGTGTGGTGCAGGGGTGCCGCAAAACAAATGCACTGCACTTTTGTAGGTCGGTCCCTCACGACGACCCCCAACCGCTTCGGACTTTCCCGTTCACTTTTTAAGCCGATTTATGAGAAATATACACGACACTCGCAGTATGTTTGGGATTTTGTGAAAAAAAATGTCGTCGTCGTCGTCGTCACCGTCATCAACAGAGCGCGAGAGGGGTCTCAGTCGGGCGCCCCAGGTCCCCCAAGCGATCAAACATAAAGTGGAGCAAAGAGAGAAACAAAACGTAACCCCAAATATGGGCCAGAGAGCACAGGAGGGGCACGGAGCACACGTGAATGTCATTTACAAGTGCAAATATTTACATTTCGTGGTGCATATGAAAGTGGGCTGCACGGGGGCTGGCAAATATGCACCATGGATATATTTATGGATGGCTACAGTACACCTACCTACAGTACATAAATGTTAAGCAAACATCTGCGCAAACTGATCGAATATGACATTACCTGTAGGGCAAGAGAGTTACCTGCAATCTATAGTCCTTAGACGGGTCAAAAGCAAAACCCAGCTAATCTTTTATTTGTGTATATTTAAAATTTATTATGTTTCTTGTAATACTGACTTATTTTTGACACCTAAAAGCAATACCCCATAGCTCTGGCATATTTTTTTGTAAGAAATTTGCTGATAGTACTCCCAAAAAAAATATGCCCAATTTTTGCCGTCTTTTTTAACTGCTCAGCAAATGAAGATCAAAAAGCCAGCGACATTTTTCCGTATCATTGCACATCATTTTTTATGCTTCCGTGTAGCATACCTCAAGGGGGCAACTGTTTCCATGGATCAAAATTAAATCCTGCAGCAGCATGAAGATATTTTCAGCAACGAACACGTTTAATTTCCCTTATCCCCGCCACTCTTTCTCTGCTTTTTTGGTTGCGCTATGGTGAAAACATCTAACATGGCATATTCATTAATTTTCCAATAATTAAGCCCAGACAGGGGGGGCACCACAACGCGCGTCCCTTCCGCCCTGTCATGTTTCGTCCATTGTTCCAACGGCTTCTGCTGAATTATGAAATTAATAAAAACCAGTCGGCAGCTCGGGCTCTGCGGCCAATGTTGGGAAGTGGAAATTTCTGCATAGCACTGCGCTTTTGTTCTAAACACAGCGAACATTTTGTTGCTAATTATGTAAGGTTAACAAGCGGCTGGCCCAGCCCATCCCCGTCGCCACGTCCCACTGCCACGGGGCGTGGCACTCATATAATATTTTTTGGGCTTCCCATTCTTATTTTTATTATTTTTTTTTCAATGCTTTTGTTGGGGGAGGGGGAGCCAAAATAAAATCCCTGGCAATCGCTTCGCCTGCGTTTTATGGCGCTAATTGGCCCCGGCCAAGGGGGGCGTGCGGTTGGTCGGTGGGTTCAAGTCTGCGTCAATTAATTAACATAATTGTACAATTTTGCATAATTTAGTGAGCAGCGATGATGATTTTATTCCCCAGACAACTTTTCGCTGGGCTTTAAGTATTTCTTTTTTTTTTTTGTGTTCCTTAGTTTAATATTTTCGAACCAAAGTTGGCAAATCTCTGTGTCTGTTGGAATTGAATAAAAATTAACTTTATTGAACTGATTTTCTCGGATATGCAAACAAGCAAATTTCTCTTAAATAAACGCTTTAAATTATAGCCAAATAATGTGCTTTAAAGCGGGATTTTTGCTTCAGTTTATGCCTTTATTTTATTGAATATTATTTTAGCTTGAATTTACCTGGGCCTCCCATTTAGTAATTGAAGCAAAGATTAGCCAGCGCCAGAGCACAGACAAATCTGTCAGTATTCGAATGAAATACAACCCACAAAGGGTTTTCCAGCCTTCTAGTCTAATAAATATGCGACTATAATTACAAACTGCCAAACGGCTATCATCTCTCTCCTTTTTCCCTCTCTCTCTGTGTGTGTGTGTGTGTTTGTGTGTGGAAAATTGCTTGAAAATTTGAAATGCATTTCGCATCACTCCCTTTTTTGGGTTTTGGGAGCAGCAGCCCCCAAAATGGTAATTAAACTGCTGGCCAAAAGTGTCGGTTTGGTTGGGATTTCGTTTTGGGAATTTTGCAGTCGGTTGGGATATGAAAAGGGATGGGACTGTGGGGAGTGGGGGGGGACACTACTGAACCATCAAATTTATATTGCGGCTGTTCGGGCAGCATTTTTGAGTGGCCTCAATATTGGGGTTTTTGGCCAAACAAAATTGCAATTCGCTTTTTGGCCATCATCGATGCATGCGTTTTCAATTACTTTGATGTCCAATGGCACACCCCGCCCCCGCTCCAGCAACAAACAACAACAAATTGCCGATGAAATATGTGTGTAATACTCGGCCACTCGTTACGTGCATTCGCATTCGCATCCGAGACAAGTTTACCACTTTTTCGCAATTCATTTACCATTTTGCCAATTGAAAATTTGAAAATTTTGCAAATTCAATTCACCAAAAATTGTACCAAATCATTTTTTGGGTGCTGTTTTTTTGTGTTGTTGTTATTTTGAAGTTTCCGCTTCCGATTCTGTGGCAGTCGAACTTTTCTAATTAATAGCAACAGTGCAAAAATAAAATATGAAAAACCCTCGAACAATATTTTACAAAAGTTTTCACTGCAGGGCATTGCTCATTAAGCATGCCCGCTCCCGCTCCCTCTCTCTCTCTCTCCTACCACTAACTCTGACACTCTCTCCTTCCCCCGTCTCACTGGTATTGGTCCATCCATCCATCTATCAATTATTTCACCATTTTGGTTCTCACAAATCAATTAAACTTTCGCTGCGCATTTTTAGCTTCTCGACTTTGTTGCGTCTTTTTTCCCCCGTTGCATGCAATTAATGAATTTTTAATAGCCGCACTTTGGTTAATGTAAAAAGTTTTCCCCCCTCCCCCCTGCCAACCATAATGCCCTAAGGGGGCTGCCAGAGGGCATCCAGGGGGCTGACTGGCTGACTGGCTGGCTGTCTCGCGTACTTAGGCTGCTTGTTGTAATTATGATTGTAGTTGCACGCAAAGTTAGTTTGCCATGTAAATCTTTTGAGCATCTTCTTCTGCTCCTCTTTTTTTGCTGCTGCTCAGCTTCAGGCAATTATTCAGTTGCAGGGGGTAGCAGGAAAGGGAAGAAAAGGATAGGAAAAGGAAGCAAGTGGAACTGGGGATATATTATATGTAAGTCAGGTTTACTTTTACTCGAACTAAAAACAAAGTTCACCATTTCTGAGCTCACCCAAAAGTGGGCTTAATCCTTTGGCCTAATCTGAGCCCAGCTGATGCCAATCACCGCCTCCATACAGCTGCAATCAGCCACTGCCCAGTCCGAACCAAAGTAGAGCAAAACAAAGGAAAGACAGACAGACCATCAACGCCTTCGCAGGGGGGACAAGCTCACAGTTCACGCATTTCAATTACATACAAACATTTATGCACCCCCCACCCAGCTGGCACTCCTGGCACCTGTAAACTGTGTTGAGGATTCCGGAATTCCACCTCCTGACAAACTCAATTGTATGCAATTTGGGTTAAAATGATTTCAAATCAGTTGAAAACCAATGAACAGAGACCCGAGACTCAGAGACCAGAGACCTGAGACCAGAGACTCGAACGCAGAGAACTGCCTGCTGTCGAAGCTGAGGCTGAAGCTGATGGAAGGCAGCCCCAAAGGGGAGATGGTGACAGGGGGCCAGGGGGACAGGGAGGCCGTGTGAGCGGAATGGACATGGGCCGAGTGCAGACTTGTGTCACGTTCAAGAACTCTAAACAGGGGGAAAATTAGTTTGATGCCACACACACACACACACACGCACACACACAACACTTGAGGGGAGAGGGGCTGACTGAATGGCTGGCTGTGTGTGGCCTGTGGCTAGGGGACATCGCAGATGTCAACAGCAGTCGGGGCCGAAAGTGAAATCAAAGCCAGCTTTCAAGTCTCACAGCACCCAACACAGCAGCACCCAATCCGAACCCAGCCCGACAGACAGACAGACAGACAGACCGAAAGACAGACAGCAATTGAGTGAAAGTGCAGACTGAAGGCTTAGTTTGCTGTCATTCTACGAGTGAAATGCCATTCAATTGACGTGCTTCGAGGCTCAATCGGAGGATGTCCCTCACTGTGTCGAAGCTGATATTTTTGCCAGCACACACACACACACCCCAAACCCCAATCGAGTCCACATCTTAGGCTAAAAAAAAAAAGTCAGGCAAGAAGTGGAAGTTCCGAATGTAAGATACCCACTACTTGGTACAAGGATACAAAGATGGCAAGACAATTTTGTTGGATAGCTATATATAATTTTAATATTTACACTTTGAATTTTTAATATATTTATATACATATATCCCAATATATTTTCTCGATTTGTGGAAATTGTAAAATAAAATTATTTTCACTTATATTTAATAAAAAATTAATTTAATAAATTTGTATTTATTAATTTATTAATATTTATTAATATTTATTAATATTAATTTATATTTAATTAATATCAAAATATAGATTTCATTTCAATACATTTCATAATTCTATGAAATAATTTAATATTTCGCTTAAATATATTTCCCACAAATTTAAAATATTTTATTTATTTGCTTTTTATTTGGATTTAATATTGGGTAGCGTGAAAATTATTTTTTAAAACCTTTATGCTTAAATTAATTATATTTAATGTCTCACAAAATTACCCGCAAATTCGCTAACAAAGATCTTACGCTAGTTGGGAGTTCTGCCTTTCTTATGCACACATTCCCATGAATACAGCATACCCTTAGATCCCCTCTGGGACTACCGGGTATCATCATTTAACAAATGATGGACGTGCTGGAGCTTGAACCCCTTCTCAAAGCCCCGGATCGTTTCAATTCGGTTCGTTTCGTTGCAGGTTTTTCGGAAAAACGAAAACGAAATTAGTTTAACGTCTGGGCCCCTAGCTCTCGCCCCCCCCCACTACCCCTCCCCCATACCTCACTCACTGTGTGTGACTGTGTGTCTGGGGGAAATCGTAGGCGTCCTGTCTGCTGCTATCAATTCTAATTACAAATGTCAACAATGATTTTTCGGTCATCCCCTTGATGGTCGATGGGCAATGGGCGATGTGCGATGACGTTAGCTCTGAGGGGTGTTGGGGTGCGGGGGGAGGTGCTCTTCCATATATATAGGGGTGTGTGTCTGAGGGGCGGGGAGCCTTGATTAATGTGACGCGCTGCAACAGCAGCTGGGTCCACACACACACCAACACAAACAGGTTGCACGGTTGTCTCGACTTGGAGTGCGGCGGATGGGGCCGCCTATTAGGGGTTGTGGTGCGGTTCCAGTTGTCTGCCGCCGCCACACACCGCTCTGTCCATCCCATTCCCGATTGATTGGCAGCCACGATGAGGGACTGTGATAAGAGCCAATCGGAAGAATGGCTTGTGACAGATTCGAGTTATATTTAGGCCTCCAATGGGCTGAGCTAGGGCAATGGGGACTCGCAGACAAATGGGGAATTAGCAGCGGAGGGGTGCAAAACAAATTGTTGACACTATGAAACGGGAAACAGTTGGACAGGTTGATGCCGATTAGGCGTTGAGGCCATGAAATAGCAGTGTCTATGGCTCTATTTAAAAGTGATTTTTGTTTAACAATTTGCAACAATTGGTAGCGTAATATTTGCTCCTAAATCTGCTCCCAAATCGGCTCCCCAATCTGTCCCAAATCTGCTCCCAAATCTGCTCCTAAATCTACTCCATTATCTGCTCCCAAATATGCTCCCAAAAATTGGAATTTTAACCAGCAGCTGAGCTTCCAGAGAGCTCCCAATCAATATTCTGCACAAGAATAAATATGCATACAAGGCAGCTTTATTAACCAAACAAACAAATAACTACCAGTAAATGAAGGAATCTTTCACATACCCATTTAACACCCCCACCCTCCTCCCCTTTTCTCTTTGCGATTTGCATGACAAACAAAATGTTACGTGCGCTCCAAGCAAAGAAGGAAATGTCCGAAAGAAAGAAACGGAAACAAAAGTACAGAAAAATATGTAAAATAATGTGTACATAATTCAATTAATTTTGGGTCGCTAGGTTAGTCAACCAAGCCCACTGTGCGAGTGGCTTACCCCCTCACTCCTCCACGGTACCCATGCCCTGCACTCCCCCGGTACTCCCCCTGGAGTACGAGTATGTCCAGGTGCTGCTGCCTTCATTTTTCATTTCTCCCACCACTTCATTTGCATTGCGTCAAAACAAAAACAGAGCTCGAGGGCTGCACAGTACCGAGTAAGTACCGCGAAGCAAGTTGTGACTCTAAGGATACCCTGTGCTCAGAAATGCAAGCACTTTTTAGGGGGAAAACTTAGGAAAGATCACACAGATGCCTATAATAACAGAGGAATTAGTTGGCAGCTCTCGGGTACATGGTATAATCAGCTACAAGTTTCATGGAGGCAGGCACACTGCTAAAAACATTTATTCTCCAATATAGGGAGGAATTTTAGGCATCCCTACAGTATCAAAACTGATAAGAAGGATGTTAAATTAAAGATAATATTGTTTATATCGTACCTTGAAATCGAAGCACCATTTCTTTGCTGCTTGTTACCAAACATCCACTTGAGTTTATATGCCCTTGCCCAAATATTCCAGAAAATATAGCACCCATAGCTATGGCTACCGGAAACGAAAACTTTGATTGTAACGGTGGGTCTGCCTCCCTGCCTGCTCTCACTCACTCTCTTGCGCTCTTGTGGCGCTCCCCCCATTTTGGTGGCTCTGCCAAATGTGACAATCGTGTCACGTACTCAATGTTCTGGAAGATTGAACGTTACGTTTGTCGCGTTTAAAATGAGTTTTTTTCAACTGAATTTGATTTTGATTGTTTGGTCCCGGACACGAATTCTACCAACAACACTCCACATCCCATTACAGTACTGAAGCCACCTTCTTTCTGATATCGCTTTGCCACATGCAGCAAATTGTTCTGCAAAGCGGAAAAACTGAAATGGCCAAAAAGTAAAATTGTTTAATTTTAGGCTTTTTTTTCTTTGGCTTTGCCTTTGTTAGCACAAAACCAAACCGAGTCGAGCCCTCATTAATTCTGTTGGATCAAGAATTATTTGTGTGTGCCCGTGTACGTGCAGGAAATTTATTAAGCAGAAAAATGCTCAGATTGGGTTTCTGGGCTTTGAGCTTTCGAAATGGCAGGAATGAGCTTTAGCTTTCACTTTGGATTTTTCACTAAATTGGAGTCGATGGCGTGTGGCATTGAGGGGGAGGGAAGCGGAGCTGCCAACTGCGCCTATGCCCTGAGCACGTCCCCACAATTAATGCGCTTCTTCGGAATGATTCTTCATAGGGAACATAATACAAATAATATACAAAATGTTTATTATAAATGCAGGCACTAATGAATGTACTCTCTATACAATCCAACAGCTGGAGACTTAGCCTAAGTGACAATTTTATTTTTTAAAACCGCAAATAAAATAAAATATAAAATGAAAAAAAATAATAAATAAATAAATAAAATAAAATCGAGCGATTATTTCTCTATCAAAACTACAATACAATAAAGGGAATGGGATTTCGTTTTTTCTCTTTTTAAGAACTCTTTTTTTTTTTTTTGGTCTCCCTATAAAGTAGGGGAATCTTGGCCAAAAATTCCGAGTGGTATACTCAAGTGAGTGGTGTGACAGACGGGAATTAATGTAATTGGTGTCGGCAGCAAAGCCCCCACTATACGTTCATTGGACATTTCTGCTCCCCAAGACAAGACACCTGCCCTGTCTTCATTATCTTTCATCCACCAACAGCTCAGTAAACAAAATGACAGATCAGCAGTGAATCTGGTATTAAAGCACAGAACTTGGAGCTTCCACAAACTATAATTGTTGAGGTTTTTCAGCGTAAGTAGATTCCAAAAATAAATAATAAATAATAATAAATAAATATGGGGAATAGCATATATGTAAATTAAATCTTTAGCTACATAGCAAACTCACATTGTTTATATAATTTCAGCAATAACATTGGCACCAATTGAAAATATATACATATGTTAAACATGGTGACACATGCCACATGCAACACCCACCAGCAAAGCGCGACAGTGGCACGCCCACACAGTGAATTTAGAGTTCGCATATTTTTCGGTTGCGAGTAAAACCGCAAATTGCTATTAACGAAAATCTAATCATAACCGGAAATTAATTTGACAGGAATCTCATTAAATTTACAGCCCAGGCAGCCACTCTACACGAGGACATTATGCGGACACAGCTGCCGCCGACGACGACGAGGAGGAGGAGGAGGAGGAGGGATGCCAACCCAACGGCCCAACAGCCCGCCCAACAGCCCAATCCGCATGCACCGCATTTCTATTCAATCCAAAATCCAAAATGCCCCCCTGCCATACGCAAATCGTTTAAAGCTGCATTGCTGCTGCGTTGACATTGCAACACAGCCACCTCAGTATTTGAGTAATGTACAGGATTTTCATTATAATATACAATTATTTCAGTTTGCCATGCCATACGGGAATGATGATGATGATGATGATGATGCTGCTGGTTGGGTGTTTGTCGGTTTACACGATAGAGTGATATCGGGAAAAACTCCAAAAAGGGATCATTTTAAATTAAATTGTATCATTAAATATAATGCATGATTTTATCCAAATAAATTGTATACCCAATGGATGAAACTTAAGCCATATATTTGCCATTTCTCTATTGCTTTGGGAACAGTTTTTAATGGCATAAATTCAACTCGATTATCCAGTGGGCAATTTCACTTATCTGTATCTTATTCCTTATTCCATGCTGCGTTCCCTTAGCCCCGCATAAACGTTCTTTTTGCACATATATTCTGTTATTCCTGGTTCTGCTGACTATGAGCAACTGCCTCTGACTCCGCCACTGGCACTGCTGCCACTGCTGCCACAGGCTGCTGTAATTTATTTCTGATTTTGGGCTTGTGCCATGCGTGGCTGAGCATTAGAGGCGCTTGCACATTTTGCACAGCACATAAATTAACATAAAGAGGCGGCAAACTGGGAGGCGCCTCCAGGGAGGCCTTGCAGCGATTACGTGACATTGAACCAGAGCCAAAGTGGCTGCTGCTGATGCTGCTGCTGATGCTGTTGCTGATGTCGATGTCAATGCTGCTGCTGCAGCAGTTCTCAATCACGGTGAGAGAGAACGGGTTGAGTCATCCAACTAATTGGATAAACCAAACCCTTCGTGACAGCTGACAATTGCAGGGGGACAATAGAGAGGGCGAAAGGCCAGAGTCTAGACACCATCTCTACTCACTATATAATAATGAGGCCGCTTTGCATTGTGCACAATTTATTGTTGATCAGGCAAATAGAAAAGAATGAAATTGCTTTATAAATGTACTCGAAATAACCTGTTAAATGTGACATGTTTGTGCTGATTAATGGGTATCTAATGGTCGGAATTATGACTGCCCAGCAGTGACTCACAGCTCGACTACTTAATGGAGTTATTAGGAAAATTGTTGAGCTCTCAAGACTTAACTTCTGACTGTGTAATCGTAATGGAAGCTTAAGTGCCTATAATGTACGAGTCTGTACATAGTCTCCCCGAGTTCAGGCTGTAAAACAGAAGCATTTGTAGCACTCTGATCTCGGGGAAAATGAGTACTAGCTAAGCCAGAATTTTGGCATTTGGCTACACCAATCCATAAAAATATGAACCCGGAAAAATAATTCCAGCAAGTTGATTTCCTGCTCTAATTGAGTGATGAGCAATGAGGCAAAATATTCGCGCACTTTAGGTAATTTTACTATCTACTACCACGCTGCGGTGCTCAAAAATTGTCTTATCTAGCTTAACTTATTTATATACAAAATATACAGAAATCCCCCAGTCTCGTTTACTGCCTTCGTTTACTCTCCTGTGCTCATTCGCAGTCACGTTACACCGTTACAGGCGTTACAACTTTTTGTGTAGATTTTTGTGTAGAATTTCATAGCAAGTGATTAATCATTTGGCTGCCGGCAAAACAGTTGTCGAGCAGCGGCGCAGCAGCAGCAACCGAGAAAACAAGTGCGACTGTCATGTAAAATGTTCACAGCCATCGGTATGTGAACAGTGCATTTCAAAACCATAAAACACACACGAAAGTTCAATCAAGAGCATGACACAGCGAGGGACTAGATATAGAGATTTGTACTAAGTCACTCAAGGCATTTAAACAAGAGTAGAAATATTTTCACGAGATATTTACTTATTTTTTTAAACTCTTTGCTAACCATAAAATAAAATTATTCATTCTGATTTAGTTTGTTTTCGTTGTGACTTTGAAAAAAACAACCAGAATACCACAAAAAATATACAATGCTATTTACTTAATTTTCTGGGCATATATATGTATGTACAATGTACATTTGTTTATTGTGTAACCCCCAGTCAGGTGACAAGGACAAGGCGGAGTGACTGTGCTGCGACTGCTTCTCAATATAATCAACCAATTAAAGCTCAAAGTACAAAATGCAGAAAACAATTTCATTTAATTTGAATAGGCTGGCTGGCTGGCTGCCTGCTGTTGTTTATTCAATTTTGGAATTGTTTAATTTTGGTTGATTGTACTTGTACCCCCCGCCTCGAAGTGACCGCAGCAGGAGTCTAAAAATCAAAAGGCAAATAAAAATGTTCAGCTTAAATCAAGTCAATTGGCAGCTCAACATTTTATTTAGTTCAACGCAAAAGTATCTGAGTGGATGAGAATATGTATTTGTTCATTTCATTGCATTTTATTTTTATATGATTTGATTAAACGAACCCTTGACACCGGAATCCTTTTAAAAATAAGTTCACTTAATTGTACAAAATTCTTCTGAGGAAAATCTATGCATATTTCAGCCACCATTCATTTCCGCTTCCTTCTTTTTTTACAGTAACTTTCCATAATCAGATAAGCTTCTAAAAATTATTTACACTCTATTGATTTAGGCTGGACCAACACATTAATATTCTATTCTAACTAAATCACCCCATGGGGGGGCACATTCACAATGCTAATTAGCAACTGGCGACACATCAAACAATTCGACACAAAGCATTTGAAAAGAGCCCAACAAAAAAATTAACTCCAATTTGCATAAATAAATATGTGTCGGAATTAAACAAATTGCCAAGCAATTCAGCAACTGTCAACCATACAAAATATAAATATAATAATTCACCAATAATATGATTATACCTATTTAGGGCTTTATTACACCACGCATAGTTGCACATACGAGTGCTCGGCTCCAGTGAGCAGCAGCAGCAGCAGCAGTAATAAAACGCAGAATGAAAAAAAATATGTGATTTATGGCCACATGCAACTGCAATTTGTACTGAAAACATTCCCTGGAAAGGCCTTAAAAGCGAATTATGGCCATAATTAACCCAATTCTTTTGGCCATGGGACACTGACACCACACATCGTCCACAATACTCGCCACTCGTAAAAACAAAATTAAGAGAAATACAAGACATGAGAAGAAAAGAAAAGAAAAGAACAGAACAGAAAAAATGCCAAAGAATTTCAGCGGCCAGAAAGGGGGAGGGGCAGAATATTCAGTGAAGAACGGGGTACATTGGGGTTCATTCAACTGTCGACTGAGACTGAGATAGTGGGTGAGAGCTGCAACAGGCAAATATGTCAAAAGATTTTTAACTTAAAATAGTTTAAGGACTTCAAAGCTCTCTAAAGATTTTAATAGGAAATTTCTAAAAGGATTCTGGAATATGTCCATAATGTTTTTTTTTATAATTAACAAACTTACATACCGGCGTGGAAAATTGCCAAAGAAAATTCATCAAAAAAATTAGTATTAGAATAGGCAAAATATGTTTAATTAAAAGATTTATTCACATGTAAAATCTTCAACTGAAAACCAATTAAATTTGTCAACTTATCCATCAGATTCCACCAATTCCTACCACAAGTCCGCTCTAATTGCAAGCAAATCAATTTCAACTTGTATCTGGAGCAAACCTTTCCAAAAATCGGAACTTATTGCATACAATTTTCATATTCCTTGCAAATGATTTTGACTGCAGCAGCAGCAGCAGCAAATTTGACAACTTCAAGTGGCTGTGGCAGCTGCCAAGCCAACCCAAACCATCCCTGGCCTCATCATCTGCGATTCACTGGCAGCTTCTTCAGCAATTTATGCATTCAAGTGGCAGCCAAAGGCAGCAGCAACAGCAGCAGCCAGCAGCCAGCAAACGCTGATGATGACAATAAGGACGCAACTCCCTGGGATCCATCCCCGACTTCGCTCTGTGATTCTCTGAGAGTCTCTGATATTTTGCCCGTTGTTGTTACTGTTGTATCTGTAAGATGCATTTGGCTGATTGTCAAGTGTCTCGTTTTGTTATCAAGACGCTGCCATCATTATCCAGGAAACAGGAATATTTCAACGAGTTAAAGCCCGTACCTTAAAGCAGAATTTGAATTTGATTTTGATTTTGGGTAAAGAGAAGACAGTCTCCAATAGAGATTGTTCCCTGAACTTTAATTAAAAAGAAATATTTTAATGATTTCGATCTCAATAGGGTAAATATTTGTGTAAGCTATAGCAGGGAAATGTCCAACTGACTAAGGATGGTAGAGTCTCCTTTGTACATAGATCTAGTGATGTTTCATATCAATATGAGTATAAAAAAGAATTGTTTCAGATTGTTCCAGACATTTCCAGATTGCGAAAATATTTGTTTTTATTTATTTAAAGAAATAAATTATAGGAAATGAGTTCCCCGTAATCCTTATCAATTTGCATTGTTAATGAGTTCAAGAGGTTCTCCTTTCTTCTTTATATATACAATTTAATGATGATTTGTGCGCTGTTCATCTAAAACTTGATTCTCGCAGATTGATTTATGGATTTGAATTGTTCGAAGAAAAGGGCTCATAACTCACCTGGCAATGTCAAGACTCCGCTTAGGGCCAGACCGATCAATAGAACACTGAGCAGCAGCTTCATTTTGTAACTTTTAATTTTTTATTATACTTTTCACACGCTTTTAAATGGGTATTTTTTATTTGCTTTGTAAATATTTATATTTATTTAGGGCACAGTTATTTTAGTTGTCTGTTGTATATTTGTGTAGTTTCGCCGGTTAACTATTCGGTTCGGTTCTGTATGGAAAGACAAACAGTTCTCAAATGCGCTTAAATGATTTGAGGAAACGGCAAATAAACGGCAAACGAAACACCGACTGAGAGGGCAGCGATTGAGTGAATGAGTGAGAGCGACTGACGCTGACCGCTCCTCCTCTCGCTTGCTCTCACACTCTCCCTCTCAATGAATATGCCTCTCCCTGCGACTAAATTGGTACGGTACCGTTCATGCTGACTGTATGACTGTATGACACTTACTTAATAAGCTACTCGTTGGGTAGATTAATTCTTTTGAATATTCGGAAATGTAAATAGAGACAAACAATCGTTGATCCATTTACGAAGAATTTGTAGTTACCGATCCCGCCAGTTCGTGGCATTTTTAAGTGACTGTCATACCGGTTTACATGCATATCAATGGTCAGCCAAGTGCTGTGGGAAACAGCTGGGGGGTACTCCGGCTGTCTGTGCGGTGTGACAATATTCTGGACCAGCACTGTGCTGCATGCGACGTCGAATGAGTAATTTTTTTTGTTGGTTTACGTTTCGACTAATCAGTTTTTGTCTATGCTTCGTTAACTGCACGCTCGCTCTGCTCTATTTCTATCTCTTTCTGCCTGTCCCAGTCTCTATCCCATGTCCCTGTGTCTGTCCCTGTCAATGAGTACGATTACTCGCACAATATGTTTTCTATTCTCCGCTTTACAGCGCCATTCGTATTTTGATTTGACTTCAATCGCACTGACTGGAAATAGTTTCAATTTGTTTTGAATGGCTAAATCACCTGCTGGCCGAGCTTCGTATAGAGTTCAAGGTTGCCGATTGTGTAAGCAAATCCATTTATTTATTCCCCCCCCATGGAGAGAGAGTGTATGGAAGCTTGTATGACACTCACACGAAGATGTAATAACCATTTTATAATTATGGAATCCCATAAACATTTGTCAAATCTTTCCAACTTTACATAATAAATTTGTATATTTAAATAAATTAAGTCAGTAATTTAGGTAACAAAATATCACACATGCTTTACTATCAATTGCCGGCAAAGGAAATTGTATACGAAATTTACACTGAAGCAATCTCACGTTCCTGGTAGCGGATCATATTATATTCCTATTTGAAAACGGAGCTGGAAGCTAAACAGAGGGCTCCGGCTCCTCTCTATAATTAAATGCACTTGATAGAGCACTTCTTGTTAATTGTATAGTCAAAACAATCACGCCTTGAGGTGAAGCTGATTCAATGCAGTCACGACTGCGCTTACGTTAATGCCAAAGATCATCATTTTATTGGAAATTGTTAGGGGACACTTAATGGCTCTTTAGCTAAAGGAGTTTCTTAGAATTTGTTTGCTATGTCTCTTCTAATTTAAAAGGGTTCACTTTAAATTCTCATAAATAATTTCAGTTAAGGTCAAAACACTTTTAAATGCAAAAATTAATTTATTTAATATTAATATTAGTTTATATTCTATTTTTTGTATTGTTTTTAGCAACTTTGCAATTTTTCTTAAATTTGATTATTTTTATATCATTTCTGTTTTATTATAAACACTTTTTATCGCCAGATAAACTTTATAGCACACGTGCTATGACGGCATACAATTTTAGCACAGCTTAATACAATTTCGCAAACAATTTCTAGCGAAGTTTCTAATGGATTGTTTACAAACATTTTTTTTTTTGTTTTTTCAGCACCGAAACGGAAATCACACAGACACCACACACTCTTATATCCACATACCGAGACTCGCAATAAATTTGCATAAACTTTTAGTTGTTGTTGCTGTTGCTTCTCGCGGTCGTCATACAGTTATTTCTGTAGGTGGTTGGAAGACCTCAACCTCAACTGGGGACTCGTTTTTTCGTGGGGGGCAAACAAACACTCGCGATCTCTTTGCCGTGCGCCGGCTCTTGTGAGAGATTTCGGACTAAACGAATGCGTACGGATTTGGCTTCATTTATACCAACGCACGCAGTCCGCAGCATAAAGAGAGCGCAGCGCGTTGAGAAGGAAGGCAGATGCGAGATCGGGAGAAGTCTTCTGAAGGAATGGTCGGCAAAACTGATCGACTGCGAGATGACTGATAGTGGGATGGGCAGGTAAAACTGGAAATTTAATTTAAGTGACAAAATTAATTAAGAAAAAAAAAACAAAGAGGGGAAGACTGTTTATGCTGTTTATTTAAATTAATAAAATGTAAGGGCATATGAGAAAGTATCAGTTATACATCCCAATAAGGAAGCTCAAACATGGGCTGGCTCACCACTAGATCCGGTATACCCCCTTCTGCCTAGGGTATTGTGGAATTACACAAAATGAATTAAAATGGTTGAATGCATTGACACGTCAGTGGCGTGGCGTGGCGTGGCAGTGGCAGCAAAAGTGAATGTCGCCGGCGACATGGACTGTGGGTCATATCCCTTGACCAAACACAAACAAAAATCACAAATTCAAAGCAGTGCGCCGACGACAACGACGACAAGGAACGCGCGCCAAGCCATCTACGTTCCTGGACTGACAATGAACACTTCAGATCCGCTCCGAGGCAGCGTCTCCACCCCGCCACCCCGCCACACCGATCTCTTTTATAGTTCTTTTCCAGATTGGGATCTTGTTTCGCCACAGCTGTTGCTTTGCTCCTCCTTTCATCCACCTTCTAGAACTTGTAATTCCCGACGCAGACCGCGAACCGGATTCTCTTTTAACTGCACTTTCGGTTGTTGTTTTTTTTTTTTTATTATTTTGTTAAAGCCGATTGTATTCTCGTATCAACTGGTTTGAATGCATCTTGCCTTTAAGTGGGGAAAAAGCATTTAAAATTAATTACCATTTTTGGTGCAAATTGTTAAGACGGCATTTTTGTGGTTGATTTGTGGCTGAAAAAAAAAAACCCCCAAAACAAGATTTTGGTCTGACAACATTGACAAATTGTTGTCAAGGCTTTTGAATGAAAAGAAATTGAGTCCGTATTAATTTAGTTACAATAGAAAAACAAAAAAACTAATGCCGTTGTCGTGGGCTGTCTGGTTTTGGAACGTGGAACCTCTGGTATTTCTCATGGATTAAAAAACTGCGTTCCTCTCGAATTTAAATATAGCAACATGTCAGGGCCTGACGCTGCCCGCCCGACTGCCCACAATTTATGATATGGTGCTCTTGACCTTGGAAACGCAACTGATGAGCGGCAAATGAGAGCAGCGCAGAACTGAACGATTTTTACTCTCCAAATAAAACAAAATATTTATAGATTTCGAAAATGTACTCCATAATTAAATGATTCTATTTTACTACAGTTTGCGATTTTAAAATGGTTTGATGTTAATTTTTTGATACAATATCAAGATGGATATTGTGGGTAATAAATGGAATTTTCTGAATTGAGAAAACTCTAATACAGTTTTCGGATTTTCACCGTTGTTTCATAGTTGAATCCCATAAATTAATCTCCTTTTCTTTATATATTAATCCCGTAAATTAAATAATTTATTGCATTATTTTTAAAAAATATGTAAGGAAAAACAACTGTTTTTGTCCAATTCGAAATTTGAATTTATTTACATGTCAACTACTACACAGAGCTGCATTTGGCAAAGGAGCCATCTGACGACAAAAGCTGCGAACCAATTTGGCACGGTCACACTTAAAATTGTGCAGCCCTGCGTTGCTTGGCGACGGATTGTTTTTGATTTTGACGTCTAAAAAAAATAAATAATAAAATTCAAATTAACAAAGAATCAGAATCAGATATCAGCATGTTTCGCCGTGGCAAATTGTCGTTTCTGAACACCAAGGACGACCGCATTAAGATTATAAATGAGCGAATAACGCAGACCGAACGCCATCTAATGGAAATGTGTTCGGCATTCGCTTTGGTGACAAGAAAAATGGCCAAGTAAGTGAAATGGATAGAAAATTATGGACTGGAAGTGTGTACAGATTGTCTCTACTCTTTGCCAGATACCGCGACGCGTTCGATGAGCTGGCAAAGGGCGTCAAGGGCTATGCGGATGACGAGGAAATCAACGAAAGTCTTTCCGCTGGCCTAAAGAGCTTCACCAATGCCGTCACCATAATGGGCGACTACATGGACATCAATGTGCATCGGCTGGAGCATAAGGTAAGCCATGTGCAGCAACCTACATATTTCATGCGCTCAGCCCCAACTGCATCCCCCCCACACGCAGATTGTCAATGAAATGTCGCAGTTTGATCAGCTGTGCAAGTCCACGCGCGATAATCTACGACTGGCGGTGATTGCACGGGACAAGGAGGTGCTGCGCCAGCGCCAGATGCTGGAGATCAAGTCCAAGTTTGCGGCCAACAATGTGCGTGGATCCATAAGCACATAATTATCCCAATTAATGCTCTAATAATCCGCAGCAGAGTGCCGCCGACTCGGAGCTGTTCAAGGCCAAGATGGAGGTGTCGCGTACGAACAAAGAGATTGACGATATAATCGGCAACTTTGAGCAGCGCAAGCTGCGCGACGTCAAGCAGCTGCTGTGCGACTTTATCCTGATCAACATGAAGCAGCACACCAAGGCCCTGGAAGTGCTCAGCGCCAGCTACTTTGACATTAGCAGCATCGATGAGCGCGACGACTTTCTCGAGTTTCAGAAGCTAATGAAAACCAAAGAGGAGCCGGCGCCGCGCAAGGGCACACTGAAGAAGGGACTGCGCTCGCAGTCCATGGACAGCCTGGATCACGAGCAGCTGGTCAGTCCACTGAAGCGGCATCAGAAGCTGTCCCGCAGCAGCAAGAATCTGGCTGGTGCGGGCATAGCCCATGCCAGCAAGCAGCAGGAGCAGGAAGAGACTGATGAGCAGGATGACGAGGAGCAGGACGATGAGGATGACGATGAAGAGGTCTGCCAGTCTCAAATGGGAATTTTCAGCAAATAATATCTCACCCAATTCTGTAGGAGACTGAACAGAGTGGCGAGGAGGATGAGGACGAAGAGTCGGGCACAGCCTCGGACGACGAACGCGAGCCCGCCCAAGACACACCGCCCACGCCAAGGGAGAATGTGTTTGGTGTCAAGTCCAGATCCGCAAGCAGCAAAGAGGCACCCCTAAAACCCATCAGACAGAGCGTTAAACATCCCTTCAAGGCGGTGGCCGCGACGCATGTAAGACTGCAGAAGCAATTCCAAGTGCCACAGCACTAGCACCACCCACCCGCCCACCAATCACCATCGACAATCACCACTTAGATCTAGAACAAGTCATTTGCATACGCTAGTCATTGGTCACGGCCCATTTATCTGCATTATTTACTCGAAATAAACAAATAAACAGCTGAAAATTATGCATCCACATTATGCCCACCACTCCCTCCCCTCTCTCTCTCCAGCAGGTGAAGCGGCGGCGACCAGGACGCGGCTCGACCGGCCGAAGCGCTGCTGCCGGTCGCCTGGTAACCGTTGTTAAATCGAAGTCCTCCACACAGCCGCCCGCAGTCTGAGAAGCCCCAAGGGGGGATTACAATTCGCGTATTTTTAATAATGTATATAATTTAAAATAGAAACTAAATGGCAATTAGCTCTAAAACATGCCCGTTGCTCTCGCAAAGTAATTACTTTAATTAAATTAGGATCTTCCTTGGATGTTGTTGGGTGGACAACTTAAAACTATGCAATAAATTGGATGAGCAAATCTTTGAGAGCAAGTTGTGAGTGTGTGTGTGTGTGTTGGGGGTGTGTGGGGGGGATTAAATGAATTGTGAGAGCCTTCGAATTGTAAATTTGAGTGCTGCGTGGAGTGTTGTGTCGATGGTTCGATGTACTTGATATGGGCGTGGCCGGGTGATGGGTGTGATGGGTGGGCGGCCACGCCTACCTTTGGTCGTCTCATTTCTACTGTACCGGCCCCTCGATGCCAGCGTGGTTCATCAGATCCGCAATGCTCTTCTCCAGATCATCGATGCGGTTGCCCATGTCATCGATGCGCGTAATTATCTGATCCGACATCGTTTGGAACTTGTCCTGCACGTTCTGCAACAGATTTTGTACCTGATAAGGGGGCGAAGCGGGCATCACTCACTGGGTGCTCTTCTATTCTACGTCTTGGATGCCACAATTACTCACGTATATGGTCAGCTCCTGCATGTTCTTGGGGTCTGCGTTGCTGTTGAGCGAGTAGTTCTGGTCCAAGTCGCTGTCCATGTCATTCCGCAGTTCGGTCATCTTGGTTGGCACTCTGTCCCGCTGGCTGGTGTCTTCTGAGTTTGGAGTTGTACAAAAGTAGAAAAAACCTTATCTCGGGTGCTTGGTTGCGAAGGTAATTTTTTTTATCTGTTTTTTTGTTTGGCGGAAAATAAGTGTGGCCACAAGGTGTTTGTCATTATCAAAATATACCGTAAATATACTGACGGACACGACAAGCTGTGCATTGATATTCTTCGATTTTAATATTCGGCTTAATATTACTAGCAAGCTCAGACCCTCAGCGCTAAAAATATTTTTTTCTACGATTAACTAATCAATTTCCTAAAAGATTTGCTAATTATAACTACTCGTTTCTATTTTAATTATTCACATATAAGGTTTTATCAAATAAAGGAGATGGTCTTCTGATGAAAAATTTTATGTCGTACATGGTAACTACACGACTAACTACACATGTGCTACAAATTAACTACATATTCATTTAAAATTCTACAGAGACCACTGATGAGAAAAAATGCTGTAAAATACTAAATATATACGCAAAGTACTAAACAAATTATAAAAATGAGCAAAGTCACTTCTCCCAATCACTAAAAATACAGTATATACAGTATAAACTGTATGGTTAGTGTCCCAATTGAGCACAAACTGTATGGGATTTTTTCCAGCTGGAATCCAATGCTCATTTTTTTGTGAGCGAATATAGATGTCGAAAAATGGTATCGAAATTTGACAATCGAAAAATGGCGCTATCTGTTATTTCGTTATTTCAGTGACTGGCCACACTGTCAAAACAACAACAACAAGATTTCACGCATTTTTCATAAACAAATTACAAATTTCACTCAAAACTAGCAAAAAACACATTTAAAATGAATGCGCCACCCACATTCGAGTCGTTTCTGCTGTACGAGGGCGAGAAAAAGTGAGTATCTTTGGAAAACGAATGCAGGGACAACTGTAAGTCAATTTTGTTGTTGCCGGCAGAATCATCAAAGAGCTGGACACAAAAGTTACAAATGCCGCGATTTTCACCATCAACAAGGAGGATCACACTCTGGGCAACATGATCCGCAAGTCGGTATACCCATCCTGACATCCTGTTTAACATAACTAAAATTTATATTCACTTGCTGCAGCCAGCTGCTGAAGGATCCGAATGTCTTGTTTGCCGGCTACAAGGTGCCGCATCCGCTGGAGCACAAGTTCGTCATACGCATCCAGACCACGGCCGAATATTCGCCGCAAGAAGCCTTCATGAATGCCATTACCGATCTGCTGGCCGAGCTCTCGCTTTTTGAGGAGCGTTTTAAAGTGAGTTTTGGCATCCCAGGTGTTTGTGGAGTTAAAGGGTGGCATAGGGAACATGTTTAGCGTCTACAGGAGCGTAGATCTTTATGGGTGTTGACCTTTATCTACATAGCAGGGTTAAATCCGGGAGCTTATTGTACGACTCGTAGCTAATCAATTATTGCAGTTTGCGGTGCACAAGTTGTGGTAATTTATATGCAATTTCCGTTGATTGGAGCTTTCATTTATTTGCCGTTTGTCAATACAGTTTAGGTTAAGTTAAGGGCACTAGACAGAGAGAAAGAGAGAATAGAACCTGCTTTAACAGGTCAATTGTGCTGCCGCATGGGCTAGTGCCTTTCTTTCTGCCTATGCCGCTGCATTTTACAGTCAGTCCCATCATTCGGTGGCTTAAATATACTCCGAAAATAACCCTGATCTGGTTTCCGACAGGTCTGAAAAGTCTGTGAGAAAGCCCGCGAAAAAGAAGTCTCTAGTTTTCAAGGCCGGATAAGTGGGGGACTGTCTCTATAAATTTAACCATTGCTTGAATTATAATTAAGAAAAAAACACTTTTCGACTGGTTCGTGCTGGAGGTCCCAATATTCAGTAATTTGTCTGCTGTTTTTTATTTTGTATAAATGCTGCTTCTACTCAGTTCAGGCTCTATTTAGTTAGCATGGTCAAAATAAATACATATCAGATAATTTCTGATAATCTTTGTATAAAAGCTATTAATTGCAGAACTGTGCTGTGCCCCTTACGTAAATTCAATTAATTACGTACAAAAAATCCACAAAAACAAACAAGTAATATATTTGATATTCTCTTCCAGGATGCCATCAAGGAGAAGAAGGAGGGCGGCGATTAGTTGTAGCCTGTTTGGAATGTACCTTTTAGCAATAAACAATAAAAAAAAGACCAATCAATTTCGACAGTCTGCGCTTTCACATTAAAACAAATTTATTTATACACTCAAAACAAATTTAGGAAACAACCAAAGCGATTTGCACTAATCGTAGTAGTATTTAGAATAAATATAAACAAATTAAAATTTAGATACAAAACGCAACATCACAATTCAAAAATAAAAAGAGAATGTTTGCTAGTGTTTAGTGTTTAGTGTTAGCGGAGCCAAAGCCAAAGCCAGAGACGGGCAGAGACAGAGGCAACTGTGAAGCTCTTCTGCTGCTGAGGTAAAAGTTATCGCCAGGTGCGAAAACAAAACAGTTGAATGGATGTTGGAAATTGTTCTACGGACTAATAGGTATCTTCATCGGCGCATTCGCTGCTGTCGTGACCAAACACTAAAAAAGGTAAAGAGACAGTTGCATTAATTCCAAAAGTTTCATTAGATTTCCCCCTTTGTGTGGGCGACTCACCCTCGCATTTATCGCAGTATTTCCTGGGTGCCGGCAGCTTGCGTTCCTTGTTCTCATTATTGTTTCGTTCCCAGGACGGCGGCGGCGAGTCATCGCGTTCGTCACCAGCCTGCAGCGGACAGTCCTCCGTCTCGTGCTTGTCGAATTCATCACAAATATCGCAAAAGAGACGCGGCGCCGGCTTGCGCTTGGTCAGCATATCAAAGGCTCGGGGTCTGGGCAAAAGCAAGCAAAGAGAACAATTTTATAGAGCATAAAGCCAAAGTTGAGCGGCAGGGGGCAACACTCACTGTGTGAAATCCATTGGCAGGGTTTCCAGCGTCTGCACCTTGGCCATCAGCGCATCGTTCTTCTGCTTCATGTCCGCAATGATGGAGTTCAGGAAATTGATCTTGGCCAGCGAGGTTTCCGTGTCCAGCGACTGCAATGGATATTCAAATAAATATATATATATTTTAATTGGAGTATCTAAGAGATACAGACCTCTGCATTATCACCGACTGTCACCCTGGGCGACGCGCCATTAACCTGCGCCCTCAGTGCCACAATCTCGCGCGACTTTTCCCCTTCAATGGTCTCCAGCTGTCGACTGAGCTGCTTGGACTCCAGGCTCGCTGTCTTTTGGCACTCCTTGGCCTGGTGCAGCGCTGCCTCCAGTTCGTGGACTCTTTCCTGCAGCTCTGCCACCTCCACGGACTTGCCCTTGGCCGAGTCGTCCATTTCATCGATGACTTTCTGGTACTCCGAGAGCTGCGCATCGAATTCGTTGCCCTTCTCCAGCAGGCCTTGCTTCTGCTGGACCGATGCTTGCAGCGCCTCGTTGGCCTGCTGCAGTTGATGCAGCTGCTCGGCTGCTTTGAGCGCCTCCTCTTGGACATGCCGCTCCTTGAGCTGCGCCTGCTCCAGCTTATCCTGCAGCTCGTCGAGGGCAACTCTTTGACTGTCCCACTGGGTTTTGGTATCCTTAAGTTCCTGCTGCAACTCCTTGACGGTATTTTCCCTCTGATTGAGGGCCTCTTGCTGCTCTTTCGCGGCTTTTTGCAGCTGATTGCGCTGCTCTATGGTGGTGAGACATTCCGCCTGTTGAACGGCCTTCATTTGCTGGCTGTTTTCAATTTCCAGCAGGCATTCCTGGTACGCAGCCTGTTGGGTGTCCAGCCGGACGGTGATTTCGGCCAGTTTCGCCTCCAGATCTTTAACCAGCGTCTCCTTCTTGGCCAGCGTAGCCACCAGTTCCTCATTGGCCTGCTGCATCTGCTGCAGTGCGTCCACGGACTTGACGACATCCGCCTGGAACCTGCTCAGCGCCTGCTGATCCTTTTCCAACTGCTCTTGCGACTCCCTAATGGAGTTCCTTTGCGCGCTCAACTGCTCCTCGGCTGCCAGTAGTTTTGCCTGCAGGTCGGCGATGAGCTGCTGCTTTTCCTCGAGCGTTTTCTGCAGCTCTGCGTTTGCCTGGGCCTGCTGATGCAGTTGCTCTGTGGCCGCCAGCGACGCTGACTGCGATTGCTGATCACTCTGCTGCAGTTGCTGCAGCTGCAGTTCGAGTTCCTCGTACCTCTTCTGCCCCGCCTCGTGCTGCTGGTGCGTCTGCTTCAGCTCCTCCTTCATGCCCGTCAGCTTCTCGATCAGTCGCTCGGCATTCATGTCCGCCTCCATCTCGAACAGCTCGAAAATGTGATTAGTTTCGCTCTTTTCGGCCTGCAGCACCTCCAGCACCGTGGACAGCTCCGCATTGGTGGCCGAGATGTTGGCATTGGCCACCTGAATGGCCTCCACAAGCGTCTTCAGATCGCTGATCTTTTGCGCATCTTCCGCGGCCATTTTCTCCTTGTGCTGCAGTTCGGTGTTGGTGATTTCCAGCCGCTCCTGCAGCTCCCCGATCGTCGCCTGTGTGCCGCTGCTCAGCTGCTGTTGATCCGCCCGCACCCTGGCCAGTTCCTGCTGCAAATGCTCGACGGACTCGGCCAGCGCCGCCTCCCGTTGCTCGGCCTCGGCTTGCAGCTTGGCCAGAGCCTCTTGGCTGGTGTGCAGCTGCTGGCGCAGATTCTGCATCTCACGTTCCTTTTGCAGCATCTCCTGGGCCCAGGCATCGGCCTTGCTGGTCAGCTCCTTCTGCCCGCTGGCCATCTGCTCGCTGAATTGGGTGAGCTTGGTGTGAAACTCACTCGACGAGGATCGCTCCGCCTGCAGTTCGGAGTGCAGTTTCTCGGAGAGCTGTTGGAGCCTTTCCTCCAGCTGGGAGGCCTCAGCACGCGATGCCGCATAGTCCTGCAAAAGAAGAGACATTTAAAAATGGTTGCTAGGGGGTGCGCTGCGCTCCTTCACCTGGTTGATCTTCTCCAGGGCCGCATTTGCCGCCTCCAGCTGCCTGTTTTTGGACTCCACCTCCGCCCGACTGGCGACGAGATTTGCTTGGGTGATTCTCGCCTGCACATTCAGCTCGCTGATCTTCTCCTCGAGCTTGGCAAACTGTATGCTGCCCTCCTCGTCCGAGTCGGCCACACGCTGCTGCAATCGCTTCAGCTCCCCTGCCACCGTATCGAGGGCCTCTTTGTTGCGGTTCGACTGCGCCAGCGCCGACTGCACTTCCTGCTCCTTTTCGTTGAGGATCAGCTCGTGGCTTTTCCGCAGATCCGCAAAGTTCAGCAGCAGCGTCTCGTATGCCTCCGACTTTTGCTCCAGCTGCAGCGTCAGCTGTGAGAGCGTCTCTTGGGCTTTGCTTAGGCTCTGGTCCTTTTGCAGATCCATCGATTCGCTGGCGAGCTTCAGCTCCGTAAGCTGATTGTGGCAGCCCTCGAGCTCGGCCAGCTTGGCAGCCAGCTGCTCCTGCACCGTGGATTTCTCCTGCTCGAGCTGCTTGATGGCCGTCAAACTTTGCTCCTGCTTTGGCCTCTCCAGTTCCAGCAGTTGCCGCGCCTCGGCCAGCTGCTGCTCCAGTTCCCGGACACGCTGTTCGTGCCGCTCCACCGTCTCGTTGGCCTGGTTGAGCACATCGAGCCGCTGCTTCAGCTGAACGCTTCCCTCTTCGGCGCTCGCCCTCTGCTGCCGTATCATGTCGTCCAGGGCGCAGTTGTCCGCCTTCTGCACATTCAGTTGGGTGTTCAGCTCGTCCAGCTGCTGGCCCTGCTCCTTGATCTGCTCGTCCCGCATGCGCAGCTCCGTCTGCAGAATCTCGTACTCGTCGGTCATGTTTTCCCGCTGGCTCTCCAGCGTATCGGCGGCACTCTTCAGCTGCTGCAGTTCCGCGGACACGCGTGCCAGCTCCTCCGTTTTGGCCGCCAACTTCTCGTCGAAGGCCGCCTGGGCCTGCTGCGCCTGCTTTTCGTTGTCCTCCTTGAGCAGGGCCAGTTCGCGGCGCAGGTTATCGATGCCGCTCTGCGACAGCGAGAACTTCTCCAGCGACTCGTCCTTGCCCAGCAGCTCTGCCTGGAGCACGCCATTCTGCTCCTGCAGGTACTTGATGTTCTCCCGCAGCCGCTGCTCCTCCTCCAGCTGCTCGGCCAGACGCGCCTCAGTCTCCTGCTGCTGTGCCCTCAACTTGTCCTGCAGTTGGGCGATCTCCTCACGCAGTGGGCTCTCCTCCTCCTCCTCTGCTGCTGCTGCTGCTGCTGCTTGTTGGGGGGCTGGGAGGCTCTGCAGACTGGGCGTGGCTGTGTGGGGCAGATTCTACTGTAAGTATTTGCTTTGTTTGGGTATTTATTTGTGGATATTTACCCGAAACCAGCTTCGTGATTTTCGATTCCAGATCGTGGATTTTCTCCCTGTACACCTGCGATTGAGCCTGCAGTGGGGAAGGAAGGGTAGGGTGGGAAATTAATGCATTTGATGTGGCTTCTGCAGTGCTGTCTTACAAATGTGCATTGACTTGGCTTTGAGCGGAATTCTTAATGGAATTCCAGGCTTAAATCGAACCTTGGTAAGTCCCCCAAATAATTAAGTAGAAATAGCTCGCATATCTTTGTGTTTTCTTAATGGATTTCAGCTTGAAACTCTTCTTTAGAAACCCACTGACTTAATACCCCTCTGACTATATCCACTGATACTTGATTTAATTTTTATTCTACCATAATTCTACCATATTCCCTATCTATTTTAAACTTAAATTGGCTGGGCCTTTGGCTTCTCTCTCCCCAACCCCTAATCACTTTCGCTTGGATATTGTCTAGTATATTTTTTTTTATTGCATACTTTTAGATTAAAAAAAATTGTGGCATTCAGGGGCTAACATCAGCTCGGCACCAAGGCAACATTATTTTTCGATCACGAAGCTGGCAGATTTTCTTGCTAGCTGTAGCAAAGAGCAGACACCCCTTACCTATGCCCAAGAGCTAGGACCATGCCGAGACCACTAATATAATGCCATCAAAGCCATAGCAGCAGTGTCACTAAAATTTAGTGAATAAATGGCAAAAATGCTGACATACTTTGCGAGTAAATTAAATTAAAATAGATAATATTGAACAAGAAATAAAACCTTTATACTTAATTCTGTATTCGCAGTCCCTTAAATACATCTATGCAATCCATCAAATCTTGAACATTATTTTGCATGCGTGTAGGAGCCTGAATTCCCTCATCAAAGAGCATTTAATACAGAATTTTCAAGATCTCTGGCCAATCCCCTGCCCAGCCATAGTCAATGTACATTTTGCAGCCACAACTTTTTCTTTCGCTCGACAATTTCTTACATTATATTCATCGCCACAGGACTGGGCCTCATCTATTGAGAACTGTAAGTCCTCCGATCTCTTGCGCTCGTCGCCCAATTGCGACTCCAATTGAACAATTCTGGACTTTAGCTGCGGGAGGATCGAGGGTAAATCGGAATTAGCAATCAAAAAAAAAAGAATGAATAAAACAACATTCGAAAGGGTATCAAAAGGGTATTTTGCATATTTGTTAATGTATTTCTCATCATATCGTATCGTAAGTGTGTATATCGTAAGTGTATATATATCGTATTTATCGTACAACTAAACCAACAGCAAGAAAAATTCGCTTTCGTACAAAATAATCAAAATGTTTCGACAAATATTCATTTCCATCTTTTTCCACAACAATTTTTTTTCATAGATTTCATCTCTTTGTTTTTTTTTTTTGTAGCCAAATAAACCTTTTCTAAAGGGGGAAATTCAATTTGGTTTTTTATATTGCTTGGCTTTTTCGTGTTTTCTTTTTTGTTTTTTCATTTGTGTATTTTGAAGATCTCGTAGATATATTTTCATTTCTTTTATTTGGTTGTTTCAGCATAAAACGCTGTGTGCAGACTTCTTCAGCATTGTCTTCCGTTTCCCATTCGCGAGAATCATTCATCCACCGTTCATCGAACCGTTTGAGCACTGTCCCCATTCCATCGTCCTCTCTCTCCTTGATGATCTACTTGATGCGCAGCGGTGTGAGGACACTGTGCAGGATGCAGTGCCTCTCGTGCTTGCCCGACCAGCCACGGAACTCGCGTCGCAGATCGGACACCCGGATGCTGTGCTTCGCTATGAGGCGTCTCCAGCGATCCGCCTCGATCAGTATTTGCTATAAAAATCATACAAAAATAGTTTTGTGCAAACAGAATTTCAATTTTTCCCGGGGGGAATTTTTTCTTTTCAGATTTCATTTGGTTTTGCGTTAAAAAGGGTAAAGAATATGAATAGAGATAGTGGCAGGGATCGAAGGGTATGCGGAGGAGTGTGGGTGGGTGGGAAAATTTTGTTGCTAATTTAACACTCAACTAACAAATTGAAAAGTCTCACCACAAAATATCAAAAGAACAATCACAAACAATTTATTTCAATACGAAACCAAACAGAAAGCACAAAAAACTGATTCATCGTCAATAAAAAAAAAAGATTGCCAGTCGGCAACAGAACAAACAGATAGCCCCAAAAGCAGTTGCAGAAATAATACAATTATATTTAGTGTATTGTACAGTGCGTTTCAAAATCATGACACACAGTGGACAGTGGAGTCAAAAATATAATTTTAAAATTAAATATTTTAATGCGAATTTTCAAGCTGAAATTTTCTTTCATTTATGTACATGTCTTTACGCTTTGAAACGCACTGTAGGCTTAACCCAAAAAGTGCAAAAAGGTGCTAAAATTTATTGCAAATAAAATATTTTTTGTTTGTTTATTTTCTATAAAGTGTCAATGATAATTGAAGGGTAAAGTTTGCTTTGAGCGGTGTGTGTGTGTCTGAGCGGAGCTGAACTCGTAAAAGTTCTCGATGTAAAATGATAAATTTCTTTGGGATTTTTAAGGAATTATTATACACGGATATATATAGTAAAATTGAGCAAATATGAATATTACTTAACCGTTATTTGAGATGCAAGTCAAATCTTTGAATGTGTATGAATAAAAATAGTATTATTCGGGCATTTTTAATTGCGTATTTTGTAACTAATATTTTTTTTTAAATAAAATCTAGCATGATTTGATTAAAGGGAAATAATTTGCGCCAGCACAAACTGTTAGAACAAAAATTTTTGTTATGCGTTCAAAACTATCCAAAAGATTTTTTCTTTTATATTAAAAAAAAAGGTTGAAAATCTAATTTGTTTGCTTATACTAGTATTGAAACGCACTGTATTGGATTCCACAAATGGATTCTCCTAATAACCTTAACCCATGGTTAGCTTGACTTTTTGACCAGGTTAAATACTGTTGAACCGCCTCAATTAGGCCCACCCCCCAACCGCATGCCTGGTTAGACCTGTGAAATTTTGCACTGTTCTCAGTACTTTGAAGTTAGTTCGGTTTGGGTATGAATCATTCTGGGGGAGCGTAGAAAATGACTGACAATTTTGGGATGACTTTTGTGGCTTTTCTGGGGGTTACGCATACCAAAAATAAAACGTGTCAAAAATTAAGTGTTAAATTAACAACAACAATAAACCAGACAATGAGACGTCATAATAAAAAAACATAACTGTGAACAAAAAGAAAAAAGAGTTAATTTTAAAAGGAAAAACCAAACAAAGACAAAACACAAGACAACAAAAATCAAGACAAACAGAAGGATAGGAGGGGGAGACAGAGACAGAGTAAACGAGAAAACCAACAAAATTAAACGGGCCAGACATTATACAATTTCCACAGATGCTAATTGAAAACTTAAACCGGTAAAATGCCATGCGAAAAGAGAGCACATGGAACAAAATTAACATCGATGGAAAGTGTATCATGTGGCCCAATATCATCCTGGATGTTGTGGATTGCATTCCACTTTTTGGATGCCATGTGTGGTGGTATGTGCGTGCGTGCGTGGGTGGGTGTGTGCATTAGGGAGATGACTGACTGACTGCTTCTTCTTGCAGCTTTGGGAATTAAATATTGCATTCCAACAACAAAATGAACAGCCCCAAAAAAAAAAACGGTGAGTGCAATGCAACAAAATACACACAAAATTAATTGAGAAGCAACGCTTTTTGCACAAATGACTGAGCAAACATTGACTTGGCAGAGCGCCGCTCAGCTCAGGGGCTTCAGCCAACTGGAAAAAGTTTCTTTTTATCGCAAAACCAAACTTTCTTCGTTTTTGTCTTCTGTTGCTGTTGCTGTTGCTGTTGTTGCTGTTGCTGTTGCTGTTGTTGTAATGGCTGCCTTGCTGTGGATAATGTTGTTTTTGTTGTTGGAATAGTTGTTGTTTTAGTTGTAATGCTGCTGCTTAGGGTTGTTGGCTCCCAAATATGATGTCGTTGTTCTTGCTGCTGCTTCTTGATCTTGTGCTGATTGGGCCGATAAGGGCGACTGCGATCCGCATAGGGCAGCGGCGTGTACATGGTATCGGTGAAGATAATTACCTCGTTGATGTTCTTCTGCAGCTGCAGCGCCTGGTTCTGTGAGTCCTCGCGATCCAGCTCGCGCTCCACCATCAGCTGTTCCACATGCTGTTGCTTCTCGCGCAGCAGGTCCTTTAGGTTAGCGTTGGGAGAGAGAGAACACAAAGAAAAAGAGAGCACAAAGCAAGCTTATGAGACACGCTCGTGGACACAGTTACAAAATCACACAGAGTGAGAGAGAGAGAGAGGAGAGAGTAAAGCTAGAAGAGAGCACAGATAAGGCATGTGTGTGTGCGGGTGTGTTTTGGGTGTATGTACAGGGTGCAACATATTTAGCAGAGAGCACAGGGTGTGTCGTTTGTTTGTTTGTTTTGCTTTACCTTTTACCGTTGACATTGTAACACACACAAATACATGCAAAGAACAACATCAAACGATCAACATTTCAACAGCAAAAGCGTGCAGGAAAAATATTTGAATATAAAATATATTTTTGTTTTGTTTTATTTGATATGCAATAAAAAAAATGTAGGTATATTTATAGTGGAATAAAATCAACCAAAATCGTACACATAAATAGCATAGGAAAAACATATGGAATATACATATATATAGGCATATACAAATTTATTATTAATTTACATATTTTTTGTTGTGTGGGTGTGTGTGTGTGTGAGTGTGTGTTAGTATCTCATGTTAGTTGTACGCTTAATTGCTAAGGATTAAACCACAAATACATATACACAGAATTGGAAAATATAAGAATGCTTAACCCGTTAACGTCTGCTTGGGAATATTTAAAAATTATCAAAAAATTAAAAATCTGTCCAAATTTAAGAAAAAAATAAAATAAAAAAATATAAAAAATAAAATAATTTAAAAATCCAAAAAAATATTGGGAGAAACCTAAAAAAAGTTACCAGTTTTATGAAAATTTATGAAAATTTATTTATTTATGAAAAAAAAAAATTTCAGAACTATTAAATTAACTTAATAAAAATAAAAAAATTTTCTGAATTTAAAAAGATTTACAACCGTAAATGTATGCAAAATATTGGTACCTTCATGGTTTTTTTTTAAATATAGTTTATGCTTTTTCCAATCAAAATGGATGTATTAAAAACCTACAAAAAATAACCCTAAAATATATCTTATTTATTATACCAAAATACCGAACACTGCAATCTCAATAGAGTATAACTTCCGTAACCAAAAAGGGGATACCCTGACAGACGTTAACGGGTTAGAAAGCCAACTAACAGCTAGTACAGCAGTGCACACTGTAAACTAACAGCTAGTACAGCAATGCACACTGTTAACTAACAGAGTACATGCAAACCAAAAAAAAAAAAAGGGAGGATAGGGAAGGGACTAACAGCGAACACCAGGCACACATTGTTGTAGCAGTTTGGCGTAGTTTTGTTGTTGATTAGCATACCTGCATGGAAAATTGGCTTTTCGGCGTCGTGACAATGGGTCTGGGCGTGCTCGACTTGCGCTGCTACGAACGGAGTGGAACATGTGGGATTGCGATTAAAATGTGAACGCGTTAGTACCAGAGAATCAATTAGAACAAGGATTAAATTAACGATTAAATAAATTAACAAAAGGTAACAAAATAGAACCAACTGTAAACGGTAATTGTGTGTTTTTTTTTGTGTTGTGTTTTTATCTTATTGAAGAGGGTGTGTGGGGGTGTGGGGGGGGGTCTTGGCTCCGCCTTATACCTGAGCATTCATGCGCATGCGCGACGTATTTGTGGTGGCAATGCTGTTCATGGTGCCGATCGATGTGAGGGATTCCCGGGAACCGGCACGCGACAAACGCGACTTCTTCGACGACGGCGACAGGGACACCTTGGCAATGGGCACAAACACCCCAAACTTGGGCTTGCACTCAAAGTATCTGTGTGGGGATTACAGCAAAACTCTTGCATTAATATCTCAAAGGGTTTAGCCCTGGCGGTTTGTCTTTGGTTATACCTTATACCATCTACAGCACCATCGTTCTTTCCGCTGGCATCGTCCAACTCCACGCCACACCAATTGCCGGGTGCGAACGATGTCTCGCCCAGATATCGTAGGATGCCCGGACGACTGCCAAAGCCCGATGAGACAATCACACGATCGCCCACAGCCATGCCGTTCTCTGCGGGTAGTTAAAACAACAAAATTAGTTAGCTTCCGGATCGATTTCCACTGCCATTTGCCCGGCCCACTTACTGCCTATGCCAGGACTGCGCATCATGGAGCTACGAATGCTGGCCGTTGGCGACACTGTGCGCGAACGTTCCGGTGAGTACTTGGCCAAGGGCGATGTGGGCGTATGTGCCCCGGACATGGGGTACACCGTGAGACGCGTGAGGCGCGAGAAGATGCCACGTTTGGGCTCGCACTGGAAGTACCGCTTGCCCGACACACAGCCATCGTTTTTACCTGTCGGAAAAGCTGAAATTAAGGCAGGAACTTTCGAGGGGAATATATCCCCAGGCTAACTTACCATTTGGCTCGTCCAGGACAATGCCCGCCCAGTCGCCGGGTGCAAAGTGTGTCTCGCCGATGTAGGCTATCTGTCCGGAACGGAGTCCACCAACCCATACCTTCTGGCCGATGATAAACTGTTCGGTGTTGGCTGTCAGCACGGCACTGTTGTGATCTGTTCGAGGAGAGTGGGACGTTCATGATTATTATACCCGGAGTCATCAATCACAGTCACAACCAGTTAAAAATTGGCTGCCATCTAGCCTCTACTAGTAAGAGAATGAAGTATGTTCTACATTGGCATGATGGCATGATGTCATGATGCAATTTGCATATGCTCTCGTGCTCAATGGAAAACCATTCACAGGCACAGTTCGACAGATTTGACAGATCTCGACGATCCCCCGCATAAACGACTAGTTCTAGCTGTGTAAACTTGACATTTTCAAGCTGCTCAATATTCAGTTTCCAAGTCTACACATGGGGGGAACAATTCTAAAATTTAATTTATTTTTAATGCCCATTTATCTATTGTGCTTCTAGGGTTGGGGGGGGAAAAAACCATTAAGTGGAAAATTACATTACAGACAGAAATCAAATAAAAGTAAAAATAAAATTGCATGCTATGAAGTCAGCAGCAACAGCAACAACAAGTCTGACTGGTTTATTCCGTTGCTGGTTTTCCATGCATCCACCTCCAATATCCCCCATCCCCCATCCATTTCCACCCACCATGCTCCCACTATTAGTTGTGGCAAATTGTTTATAATGTTTGCTGCACTCGAGCTGCGCTTCAAATTGCTGCTTGCGTTTTAAGTTTAAGTTCCGAGTTGCAGGAAATCAGTTAAGAATTTCCAAAGTGCTATTCCCCCTGTGAAATATTATTTTAATTCAATTAATGCTTTAACCTCTAAACTTAAACTGTCAAACTTTTTAAGGGTATTCTTTAAAAACTTTAAAAATCTCTGAAAAATCGAAATAAATTTTATTCACGATTATTAAGCGTAGTTTAAGATTCGTCTGGAAAAATCTTTGCATAATCTCTGAACTTTTTTTTTTCTCTCAACAAAAGAGTAAAGTTTGCTCTCCCATTATTATTATTTTATTTAAATATATATATATATATATATATATATATATATTATCCAAACTGTTGCCTCGATCCTTACTATAAACTTTCTATAACAAAAATACATTCCCTGATTACTTTATCCCCTCCTAATTCATGGTCTGTCTTCATTTTGGGTGTTATGTTGCCCAAACAACAATATTTTTATGTTTTTGACTTTTGTTATATAAAAAAACATTCACTAAAATTAACATAAAACACGAAAGCTACAGCTTGTTAGCAATATTCATGGGTCCCGCCAGCCACTTAATCTTTTTCTTCCCATATATTTCGTATCAAATTTCCTCAAATTTATTTTGCATTAAAGCGTAACCGTGCCCCACATTTTATTAATCATTAGATTTAATTTTTTAAATAATTAATTTTTTTTTTATATTTTTCCTTTCGCTGACTAACAGAGCTCCATTGTTTTTTAGGTTTTTATTGTCTAAACCCAGCGCGACCTTGACATCCAAAAAATTTTGATAATGTCATGCAATCTTTTGGCTCATTAGACACACGACAACACCCACAGAATGAGGCAAATGCAATCACGTTTCTGTCATTTACCATTAAGCTCATTAAGCTTTGTTAATTTGACAATATTTTGAGCTGAAGATACAACACTGCTCCTCCCTCCCACTATTTGCAACAGTTGGGCCATAAATTTTTGCACTTTTAACGTTTGCCAGCCAAATGACCGTTTAAGGTGCGAGCAAGTGGCCTAGATACATACTATGTACACACACACAAGTACCCGAGCCCCAGTCAAGCCACCTGCGCAAATAGTTAGAGCCAAACATGCTGCGCAGATACAAGATACAAATGCAAGAAGTATCTGCTACTGGCTGTCAGGTTACCACCCACAACCGAATGCTTACCTGAGCTGCGACGTCGCCCAGTGGCCTCTAGATAATAATCATCTTTTTGGATAATAGAAACAGCAACAGCAACAAAAACAAGAACGAAACACACACATGAAACAGAAACAAAAACAAACAAACAAAAATGCACAAAAGCTGAAGCTTCGGATGGCACCGAAGGCAGATAGATGTACCCAGGCGGTGCTGTCAAAATATCTTCTACATGCATGAGGAAATTGTTTGAGCACAGAATTTTAATTTAAAAATTTAAATGTTATATTGCCAATTAAAATTAAAAATTAAAAAATGTTTTTGCATACAAAAGTAATTTTTTAACTTATAAAAACAAAAGTTTAACTCATGAAAAAAATCTACAAAATTAACATCAATAATATTTTAATTTTTTGGTACTTTTTGTTTGGGAAATAATTTGCATTTGCATCGGACAGACTGGGGGGGTTTTTTTATTGATATTAATTGATATGATATTTTTTAAAATCAAAATCAATTCTGCACGGGTACAACCAAACTTAAAACAAAAAATAGAGTTACAACTACATGCAGCAGCAGCAGCAGCGATGGAGGTTCATTATAGAACTTACAAGATGTGCGACTTCCAGTCGAGCGGCGCGAGGGCGAGGGCGAGTAGCGTTCCCAGTCGGATGTGGGTGAGAGCGAGGAGCGCGTGAAGCGCTTGACAGTCTCTTGATAGAGATCTATATAGGCACCAATATATCGTACATATAGTATATAATGTATGCATGAACTCTGGCAGCAATTTGCAATTGCTTAGCGTTTTTTTTTTTGGTTTTGGTTTGTTTTGTGGGTGTTAAAAAGCTGTGCGGGTAGTTTGTTTTCCCAGCTTTTATGACTGCCTTTTCCGCTTTGGTTATAGTATATTTATGGATTACTATATAGATATTAAGTGCTCGGTATATGTATGGTAGATATGTATTGGTTAAAAATTAACGCAGTTGTTGTGAAAGTTTTTGGCATTTTGTTTGTATGTTTGTTTGTGTGTTTTTGTTTCTTGTTTAATAAGCTCTTTGGAGCGCAAGCAGCAGGTTTTTTTTTGGTAAAGGTTAGAGACGGTAATCAGAGTTGTTATTAGACCCCCCCGAAAATGTATTGTAGATCTTTTAGATTTCCAGAGTAAAAGAGAGAGGTGTTTGGGTTGTTGCTTTTGTGTCTGCATGAAATGAAGAAAAGTTTAAAGCAAAAATGGGCCTGGAAATGCCTCTGAAAATCTATTATTAGTTTCTCTAAATGGAATTCCCCGCCCTGCCTGAAAAGGGAAACCACATTCATTCCCAAAAGGCGATCTAATTTCCCATTTTTAGTGCAAAAAAAAAACAAACATGAATAATATTCTAACTTAAATACAAACATTTAGGCGTACAGGAAATGAGTTCCAATTAAGAGATTTTACACATTTTAAGAGCCAAGTTTGATGCTAAATACTTTTTATGATGTATCTAAAATGGTTGCTCTGCTATAAACAATTCTACCAGTCACTTGAAAGCCACTTAAGATGCCTAAATATCTTATATGTATATAAACCAGAGAAAATTTCGCAGAGACTTTGGCCAGAGAGCAGCTTACAGAATTTCATGTCTTTTATGGTGTCTTTCTTCTCACCGATCGACACAAAAAGTTCTTTCACTTCCCATGACTTTCGAAAATCAATTTTCGCCATAAAGGAGAAAGAAAAGCATAAATCAATTAAATTGTCGACAGTTTGGTAACGTTTTTCGCACAGACGGAAGAAAGAAAGAAATACGAGAAAGATACACAAACAATCAACGTACAAAAGATACAGATACAGATGCGCCCCGCTGCAGCAGTGGTAGTAAAAAAAAAAGAGAAAAAGATTTCAAATCTTTTCAATTGCACGAATTCGGTTTCCGTTTATTTTCTGCGAAATCTGCGGCATGTCTACGTCATGTAGTTAATTGTGTTTTTGTCAGTTGAAATTGCTTTTATTATGGCTAGCATTTTGTATCTGCTGTGAGTTATGGCAGATAGATCTGGTAGATACTTTTATGTGGTGGTTGCCTCTTCTGCCTTTTGGGCTAATCAACGAACTGACATGGCCCAGAGGCAAGAGGCCGCCCAGGGCCCCGGACAGGCCACAGCGTCAGCGTCAAGGTTCAATTGTGTATCTTTAAGTGGTTACAGTCGCTACTGTATCTGTATCTTCGTCTCGCTCGCTCTGTATCTTTCGTGTGTCCGATCGGGCAAGACAATTTGTTATTATTTGCTATTATATATCATGACGCTGGCAGCTTTTACAAAGTATTTTTTTTTTTTTTAATTATCACAATTGGGCGTTGCAAGCCCAGGCCCCTTTGTATCTGTATCTTTTGTGGCCATGTATCTTGTGTATGGTTTTGTGTGTGTGTGTGTGTGTTTTCCCTTTTTATTTTGCAAGCAAAACTTTCACAAATTGTGACGCTCAGTAAAATGGGTGGTGGGGGGAAACCTTTTCTCTATAACTTCGAGAGAGAGAGAGAGGCCGGCCTGCCTGTAACTGTAACTGTATCTGTGTATCTATAGCTTATGTAATGACAGATTGCTAATAAATCAGGCAGCATTTTACCTTCGCTAATTTTCCCCCCCCAACCCCCGCTCCCCCTTCAATGTTCATTGATAATTTCTAACATTTAACTGTGAAACGTCGTCCATCAGGCGGCGGGCTTCTAAAAATAAACGCAGCTACACCTAAATGACAAGCGATTTCCTTGCAGTTGACATTCAGTGTCGCAGCTAATGAACTCATGTATCTGACAGATACACCTATGATTCATCAAAGCGAACCGCCTCCGGGCCTTTAGACCAGACCCGGCCAGACCCGACCCGACCAGACCAAGTGGAGTGTGGCGCCGCTCGCTCGCTCGCTGCAGCTCCAATGGCAGCCCCGCGGCTACGACCCACTTTGCTCACGATTCTGGCCAAAAAAAAAGTGACAAAAACAAAGCGAAATATTTCGTCACATCGTCCATTTATGGGAGGATCGTCGAGCGATCGAACGAGCGAGCGAGTGTGTCTGTTGTTTGCCTGCAGCCGGGCGATAAATCAGCCAGATCAACGAGCAGCCAGTGGCCAGTGGCCAGTGTCTGGCCATGTCAATACTTTATTATCTTTTGAGATGATTAAACAACATTTAATTAAACTAAACTGTGTGCAGGTTGAGCTATGTAGCTCTCTTTTGTGTGTCGTTTCGTGTGTGTTTCAGTGTGGGCTGCCAGTGCAGTTCTGAGTCTCACTTAAGTGTGGGTTTTCGCCTGCCCCCACAACTCTACAGAGATGTGGCATCGGGCATGACTTACATGACTTTTCGGCATGTTAAATGCAAATCTTTCACCCCTCTCTCTCTCTCCCTCTGTATCTCTCCCTGTGTATTTGTATCTGGTAAATGCCGACAGCAAATGATTATTACCTGCCGCTGCTCCCTGTGGCTGCCGCTGACGATCGCCAATCGCTGATTACTGTGGGCTGAATAAGCGCCTGAACCAGTTACAGTGGGCTCTGTTATTCGAGGCAGAGTTTTGCCTCTAAATAATTGCGGTTTAAAAATACCAACGTTTTATATTTATCTTTCTGCTTACTGTCTGCACCTGTTGCCTCTTTTGTTTTTTTTTTTATATTTAATTGTTGCTTATTTTGTATCGGATAACCAACTTTCATTCTTTGCACATTCTTTCAACTCTCTGAACAAACTGCATTGTACGCTTTTTTCGTGTGAAATAAATCTGTTCGCTTATGGGACACTTTCTACATCAAATGAAAATCATTCGCATCATTCGATGACTGTTTCGTATGTTACTTAGGGGATCAGTGGTATAATAAAGGTTTGGCGGAAATTCACGTTGGATAACAGATAGAAATCTTCATATAAATAACACCTTAAAGAATATTATCGATAATCGCGAATATCTTGGACCTGGGTCGACAATCTTTACTGCAGTTTCTATGTCATTTAATGTAAATGAATATAGCTCATATAATTTTAAACCCCCCTTAATTCAAACAATCTGATTATACGCTATTAGTTAAGTTCTATCCAATCTATCTATCAAACGCAACTGTAGCCTGACAACAGCATAGACATGCCACTCCATGCATGTAATAATAATCTTTTATCATTTTATTTATTTTATTATATTTAAAGTGAATCTCTTTTAAGCAATCCCTACTGTACATTCATACTGTTATAAAATGCAATATGCTTTTATTTTTTATCTCGATTGTTCATCGTTCTGTGCGCTCAATAATTGCATCAATAATAATTTGATATAAATATTTATTTTTCAGTCGCTTTTAATGTTAAATGTTTCTGTCGGCAAGCAGTATTTGTTTTGCTGGATATTCCTACGATTACGATAGAATTTCACCAAATAGAGAACTGGTTTGCTACGCCCCCTGTTTTGCCCCCACAGGCAATAGATGAACTGAAGATGCTTACGTGACTGTCGATGATCGGATAAAGGCGTGTCCCACCCATAAATATATAAATTATAGATGTATATTATATATATCGCTTCGACTGTTTGTTCAAGTAAATAACCAAAAAAAAAATATTAGTGGGGAGAGCCTCAACCGGTTGGGCGGCCTGTGCCTCTGTATCTGTATCTGGGTATCTGGGCATCTGCGATTGTGTTTTGTGTCGCGTATTTCGCATTACAATTTAAATTTGTTTAAGTTCTAGAACGTGTTTGGCATGAAAACGGCTCGAATCGTTTTTCATTTGGGTAGAAGGGCAAAACAGTTGAATGAACATTCCATGAACGCTCTTGGAAGTGGTTCCTCCCCCTCTATATAAAAACAGTTTGTTAGCCTAATGAAGTTCCGTAACAAACCCTAAAGGCAAAAAGCGATTAAAGTTATGACTGATCGTAATCGATTTGATGGGCCAAATGGGGCTCCAGATACGATCGTGGGATCACTGTGGCATTTTGTTTGCTTTACTTGATTTGAGGAGGAAAGATCTGGCATACACAAGTAGTTTACTCAATGAAATATTTACTCGTATCTGTTCTATAAAATATATATATATTTGTTTGCTATTGGGCAAGATCAGTGAACTGACGAGGTGTGGGGTGTCAATCTAGGCTGTCAGGGTTAACAAAAATCACATTGAGGTATACAAAATACGTGAATAAATACATATGTATTTTATAATGGAATAAATGGAAATAATTTTCATTGTGGAAAAGTCGATGAAAGTTTATCAGATAAGATAAGATACGTTATCTATCAAACTGTTCCATATGTGTTTTTGCAATGAAAAAGTCGGAATTGCGAAATCTGTGACTATAAAGACAATGCAATTTCTTAAATAATTTATTATTGTTTATTATCATTTAAATAACTGTCTCAAGACATCGAAATTGGTTACTTTTAACGCTCTTAGATTTCAGCCATTATTTCATTTGAACGCGCAAATTATTTAAAGAGTATTTTGCAGAGTTTCTCCGTAATATTCTCCTACATGTTTAAATTATTTTTAATGTCAATAAAAGAAAAAAAAACTAGTTTTAGCTTCAAGTACATAACGAGATATCATATCTAAGGAAAGTATTTTCCCTGAATTTCTTTTGCATTTTGTACTCAAGAAAATACCCTACAAGAATAATCCAGATTAATTTAAGATTTACCACCCACTGTTTAAGTACTAAAATATTCGCTTTTTTTATAATTTGATTTTCCGCAATATTTATGCCTTGTTTCCCCATGTATTTCGATTCGATTAATGTGAGTCTCAAGATGTTCACATAAATGTGTTAATTTCGGCCCCAACCGCGCAAGCAAAATTAATTGGAAATTAATAAGAAATTAATAATGTCATGAGCGGAGATTAAATGGAACGCATTCGAGTAAAAAGCCAAGTAATAAACAGGTGTAAAATTAACAATAAAAAAATGCAATAATAAATGTGTCAAAGAGTGTGTAGTGTAGCTGTAGCTGTGTATATTTACCTGTGTAAGCCGAATTAATCGAACTCAAATTGTCATCGCTTTCACGACTCATGCTGTTTGTGTCTGGAAATAAAATCAAAAACGCCAAAGAAAAGAAAAGAAAACGGCGCACAACAAAAACGCAAAGTGAGCATTAAAAAATTAACAGAAACGTACAAAAAAAAAAAATATAAAATTAAATCATAATTACAGCCAGGGGCCAGGCAGGGGCCAAGCCAATTCAAGCGCGTATTCAGGCCATGGTAACGGGGCACGGCCTGCTCTCTGCGCTCTCTCAAAGAAAAGCCAACAGCACAGAGGCCAAAATGGCAAAATAACAATTAGTAATGGGTCGCTCTGGCTCTGGCAGATCTCAACCTTAACACTGCCCCAACCCCCTCCCCCAAAGGGTGGCATTCCAGTCGAAAGCGATTAGATAACTGGAACTGGCAGTGTGTGTGTATGTGTGCGTGTGTGTATGGTTCGGTAAAGGTATTTATTCTGAGCGGATAGTTTGTTGGCAGCTTACTTAAAAATAGATTATTCTGTAGTTGTGTAGCATGTCTGGGAGCAAGAGGAAATTGTAACCATGATAATCTAAAAAACAAACTCTAATGAAATTGGAAATGTATTTTCATGTTCTCAAGGTTTAAACTCAGATAAAATGTGGATGCAGCATTTCGGGCAATTTCTTGGAATTTTGCGTGTAGTTTTTGATGCCCAAAGCATTCCCAAAGAAAGTAATTGATTCTTTTGTATATCGACGAATGTTTCATGCCCTATAAATGCTATCGAAATATTTACACAATATTTTACAATGAGTAAAGATCGTAAATTGCAAATACTGCAAGGGAATTTCCTTTGATTTCTGCAAGCAGTATTATTACTGCTCTTTGGATTGCAAATCTCTCTGCGTGTTGGCCAATTGCCAGTCACGTGTAAAAGTGGATTGATAGAAGTGGAAATGGAACCACTTTCAGTCCCAAAATGAAACCTAGAGCCAAGCCCAGACTTTCATTAAAGATCTATTTACTTTTCTTGGCATTGCTAAAAGTTTAAAGATGCACTCCCTACCAACGATCTCCTCGTCTAAAAGATGAATGCCCAACTGCCCGTTAATGATGACATTAATGTCCGCATTTAATGGTTTACCCGCCCCGATTTTCAAACAGTTATAAATTGCGACACGCCCACTATAAAAGTCTGCGTTCCAGCCGATCCAACGATCCATCGAACCACCGCTCGCACGATGCCAACCCAAAATGGAACTTCAATTGCGTGCGTTTGTGTGTGTGGGTTTTGCACCACCGAATGCGAATGTTTATGGCCACTGACCAAATACAAAAGCAAAACCAAATTACTCTGTCCGGAGGCATTTTAGCCAAAAAGCATTTTCAAGACTCTTTTTTTTTGTTGGTTTTTAACCATAATTTGACAAAATAACAAAACAAATAAACGGATAATTAAGTTGCCTTTTTCCCCTTATGCTGCTTATCGGTAGATCGGAACACGCGTCTCTGCCTGTCTGCTTGTCCGAATAATACAATAATTATTCATAAATAAATAAACAGAAATAAATTTGGGGGATAAAAAATACTCAATTGATTGTTTTGCTTATTTGTTTTATTTTTTGTTCCCTCTCGTTTGGCTGTTAATTGGTGGGAAGGTAAACAAACACACACACACAAATTATCCACAACTCGAATCTACAACTTCAGGATTCTAAAAGTCAAATGTCAATTTTTTTGGATTTTTAGATGTTGCCATGACGTGCAAAAGTCTTTTGGCTTTTCTTTTTATGGGTCACTCGTGTGGTGTGGTATGGTGTCTAGTTTCGTTCTGTTTCTGTGTGAAACTGGTTGTTAAATTTATGCAGATGGATTGATGGATTGCTTTGCATGATTCCGCCGAAGATACTAATCATTTTGCTGCGGTGTAGCTGCGCCCAGTTAACCAATTTGATTCGATAGAATGGACATTCATTTGGCATCTAGTTTCGGGTTCTAGTGACTCTTTGGAGTTTATTGTGGAGTTGTCATTTGGAATCATTAGTTAGCCATTGAAAAAGTATGGGCAGATATTTTTCAAAAATATGGATAGTGGTTCCTCTTTTATTCAAATATTCGAATGCCTGTTTTTTGAACCACAACACAAGAAATACACCTAAGAATATTTTTATTAAACCAATCAAATTTTTAATGTAGAAAAAATTAATTAATTAATTAAATCTCAAGTATAAAATTTATCAAATTATTTTAGACATTTTTTTTTTTTGCTCGATGACACAATAAATTATTGCTAAAATATGAATTTATGTCATTGAAAATTGATTATTTAATTCAGAATCAAATAGTTTCCTTTTTAGGACATATTGTAATATTTTTGTAATGTATCTATAGGAATGAATATAGCAAGATGTTTTTTTTGCGTCATTCGGAAATCATTATCGCGAAATCGTTACCACAATTGGCTTAGTGCAGCTTGTTGGCTTATACCAAAGGTAGCACTTTTATGAGATAAGATAAGAAAACATTTTGTTTATTAATCGGTTTACTAATGTTTATAAATGTATTATTTTGTAATTAAATTTAATTTTGATTCCATGATGGAAAAACAGCAGCAAAAACTTTACGCTGCTGAAACTCTTGAAATTCAAAAGCAGATCTTTCTCCATCAGGAAAGTATACAAAAATCTTGCATTCAATCCCCCTTCTCATAATTTCACTTCACAAATCATATTTCCCCAAAAAATATTTTTTTTTCAGTGCTCGTTCGAGTAGTCCGATGTATTTTTGTTCAAACCTTTTCAAGCTTAACACTTCAGGGGGGGCCCCCATCGAAGCAAGACTCTCGAGTGTTTTTCGCCCCGAGAATTGTGTAAGTGACGTGTTAATTTATTTGACTTTTGCTTTTGGGTTTGCTTTGCACTGCCTGCTGCTGGTGCTGCTGCTGCTGGTGCTAGTATTCCTAATTCCCGCCTCTCGCTGTTCTTGCTTTGAGCATTATTGCTGCATGCAAAATAATTAAAAGCACTCGAGTGTAAGCGAAACAATAAAAACCAACAAGAAAAAAAAGTGAGAATAAAAAGTGATTAAAATGGTTGTTTTAATTGTTGTTGGAAACTTCAAGAGCGTTTTGTCTGGGCACCTGAACTTTGTTAAGTCTTTGAGTTGGAGAATGGAAATTATAGGCAGAACCAGGAAAGGGAAGGGAGAGGGAAGGGAGAGGGTTTCGGCTGGATTCAGAGCTAAAGAGTGTGTACAGCCGAAGCAATAATTAGTGAGAGGTTCGTGTCTGTCTAGAGTCAAGCAAAAATTAATGTTTGCAGCACCTTAGAGATTGAGCTGATTGGTGATTCTCTTTCCCTGTCGGTTTGTCTTTTTCCAACATCAACCAAACAGTTATCCAGTAAAGACTTTTCTAAGTTCTATGCGTAATTATATCAAGTGTATTTTTGATGATTTTTCTGTTCTATCTCAGCAGAGACTGCTCGAAGAACTCTAGTCCCCCCGTGTGGTCTCTGAGCGGCGCACATTTCTTAATGAACTCCTCCATTAGGATCATGACAAAGACCAGCAGGCCAGGCCAATAATTCATTAGAAGCACGAAAATATCACAAAAAAAAAACAAGACAATAATGGGTTTGTTTACACGCGAAAATGAGCCCGAAGAAGGGGGGGGAGGGGTACAACAAATCATCTGCAGAAGAGCAAAACTGAAATATCATTTCATAATGCCAAAGAGAGAAATAAAACCCAAAGCGAAGGGCAAAGAAAAAAGGCAAAGCGGGAACACCCTTTTCTTGAACTTTTCCTTACGGTTGATTACTTTGCCCCTTCAAGTTAAAGAAACTGTAATTAAATTAGCGCTGAAAAGGAAAAGAAAAAGTAAAAGGCAAAGGCAAACCGACAAACCGACAAAAGAAAAAAACTAATAATAAATAAAAATCATTTTCGAGGCGTGTGAAATGCAATTAGCCAAAAAGAAATACCGTTTACGGTAATTAAATGGCCATAAATGAGCGGCTCAAATGCACGTACACATCGACAATTGCATTTCAAATGAGACGCAACGCAGCGTACAATGGTGCGTATACTTGATGCAAACGGCAGCGCAACATTACTCATACGACACCCACGAGTGCCGCCCGAGTACCCGCCCACGAACCGAACGCTAATGATTGTAGAACAAACACAAAGCTGAGATCATTCGAAAACATCAACAGAAACACACGAAAAAATATATAAATCAAATATAACGAATGGAACGAACCAACAAGAGAGAGAGAGACGATCTGTAAACAAACCAACTAAATTTACTGGAATGACGCCACGCCAGATCTTTATTGTCTATGAGGAGACAGAAAGAGAGAGCGAGAGAGACCGATTCAAAGCAAATATTTACGCGGATATATTCTCTTATATATACTATATATAATCCATTCAGTAGTCGGTGTGAAATTAATGTTCTGGGATGAGTAGCTTTCTGTCAAGGCCTGTGCCTGATGTCTCCAAAAGTGGATTTATGGCACGCCCACCTGTTTGCACAGGTGGATTGTGTAATCTTCATAATATATACATATATGTATACCCATATACTTCTAAGTATATACATAAATGTGTCGCATATTTGTCATTTGTCTGTGTCCATATTTCAGTTACAGTTGTGTAAGCAGCCGCTTCATACTTTGTCTCGAATGTATGTAAGTTTTCTCAGATATACCAAGGTTTTTGTTTTTGTTTTTGCGTTTTAAGTTTTATAATTTATGTTATATTTTTATTCAAAATTAATATACTACGTTGTACAAAAAGAGGCCATCATATTTCCTTGGGCAACATTTTTAATATTTTTCATTGAATTTGTATTTGTTTTATAGACTTCTTTTTTCAGCTGCACAAATTCTAAAAACAAAACTATTTCTAAATTTGTCTCGATTCGATTTAATTAAATTCTATATTTTTATGGGAACAAAATAAATTGGTTTATTTTTTTTTTTAATCGGTATCGGTTATCATATTTATTTATATTTTATTTATATTTATTTATTATTTATTTATTATTTATTTATTTATCATATCTTCCAT